ACATTTCAAGGACTTTTATGTATAATGCAAGTATCTTATATTTAGTGCAGTCTCTTGTACCACCAAATAAACACAAAAAAGTATTATTTATGAGTTGTGCTGGTTAAAAAATTGGAAAAAAGACCATTCATCATTGAATAAAGTTGCATAATCTCATAACAGTAATAAAATAGTTTTTATATATTGTCAGAACACTGTGAATTGTGTAAAATTGTGGAATGCAGATTGTATGTTACAGGGTAATGTAAAAAAACAACAACAATATTTTTAGACACATTTCAAAACAATCATTTTTTCAATGTACAATAAATATATTATAATAAAAATTTATAAAAATAATAATAGTTTTCTACAATTAAAAAATCTCTTTAATTCAAACTTTTATTTTTATTTACAAAATTCAAATTAAAGATTGCACTGTATATAGTACATAATTCTAATAAAAGTTATAATGTATATACTTTTAAACATGCTGGTCTAGCATTTTTGTGTCAATTTGAGCATATTTTGAAAGTGTATTTTAAAGTGTAACTTAAGACATTCAGAATCATATTAATTTATAGTATCAACACAAGGTTTTGTTAAGTCTGCATAGCTCATTGATTAGGGGGTTGTGCTCTATCTATGAATGAGTCAAGTTCTCATTAAACCCAAATCATGACCAAAGTAACCAAAAATTTAAAACCTAAAAAACCATCCCCACCACCTAAATGTTTTAATATATCTTTTACAAATATTCGCGGTCTACAAAGCAACTTTCTGTCAGTTGAGTCTTACCTCCTGCAAAATTCACCAGACTTGCTTGCACTCAGTGAAACAAATTTAAATTCTGCAATTCCTTCTTCAGATGTCAGTGTTGATGGGTACTATCCTTTGATTCGTAAAGACTCCAATAGTCACATGCTAGGTTTAGGGGTATACATATGCATTAATTCCCCCTATTTGTAGTGAAATCAGGTTCAAATCCTTTGACCATTCTTTTATGTGCTTTCGCCTAGCACCTCTTCACTCACCTTTCTCTTTGTTCTTTATCGTTCTCCTTCTTCCCATGATTGCACTCTTTTAGATGTTATCTCTGATCAAATTGACCATGCCCTCTCTCTTTACCCCTCTGCCAATATTGTTGTTGTTGGTGATTTTAATGCCCATCACACTGAATGGCTTGGTTCTAACACCACTGATCCTGCTGGCACTAAAGCCTTTAACTTTTGCGTTTCTCAATCTCTTACTCAGATAGTTAACTTTGTGACTTGTTTTCCTGACAACCCTAATCATTTACCTTCACTCCTTGACTTATGTCTTGTCTCTGACCCTAGCTTATGTTCAGTTTCTCCCTTTTCTCCCTTAGGTGGTTCTGACCATGCAATGATCTCTATAAATCTTTCTTCTCGTACTTCTTTTTTGGGCTCACTTTATCATCGCACCACCTACTACTACCCTAAAGCTGACTAGGATTCTTTTCGTGATTTTCTTTGTGATGGTCCTTAAGCTGATGTTTTTTCTCTCTCACAAATGCGCCTCCTACGTAACCTCCTGGATTCAGGCTGGAATGGAAGCTTTTATTCCTTCTCGTTGGTTTCAAGTCAAGCCTCATTCTACTCCATGGTTTTCTCCTTCTTGTGCGACTGCTATATCCAATCGTAATCATTTTTTTCATCTTTTTCAAAAGAACAACTCTCTTGAGAACAAACGACTATTTATTATTGCAAGAAATCGATGTAAAAAGGTGCTTTCTGATGCTAAACTCCATTATTTTCAGTTCACTAAATCTTGCATCTTGCATCATCACAGACTTTTGGAAACTCTTCAACAGCATTATTAACAAGGGTAGATCTTACGTTCCATCTCTCATTCATGGGACTGATCTTATTATCTCTCCCAAGGATAACTTTTCTTCTAATTCCACTCTTGAATCTTATGGAAATTCTCTTCCTTCCATTCCAGTCAAACAGGTTGACCCATTGTTAGACATTCAAATCACTCCGGCTTCTGTTGCTAAAGTCATATCTCAATTAAACTCGTCTACAGCTTGTGGTCCAGACAACATTCCTGTCACAGTCTTGCAGAATTGTTCTCCAGAACTTTTCAATTCACTCTAAACTATTTAACAAGTGTTTGACTGAGTCTTGTTTTCCTGCTTGTTGGAAAATTATCGTCCGATCAGTCTTCTTTCTGTTATTAGCAAGGTCTTTGAGTCTTTGATCAACAAATTCCTCACATCTCATCTTGAGTCAAATAAACTACTGTCAGACAATCAATACGGTTTTCGATCCTCTCGCTCTACGGCCGACTTGCTAACTGCTGTAACTGAAAGATTTTATTGTGCATTAGATGGAGGCGGTGAGACTAGGGCTATTGCTCTCGACATATCTAAAGCTTTTGACAAAGTTTGGCATGCTGGTTTTCTCCATAAGCTTGCTTCATATGGTGTTTCTGGCAAAGTTTTTGAGATTATCAAATCATTTCTTTCTAACCGGTTTATTAAAGTCATCCTTGAAGGCCAACACTCTTCTTTTATTTCCAGTAACTTCTGGGGTTCCCCAAGGTCCCATCCTGGACCCTGTTTTGTTTCTTATCTACATAAACAATCTTCCTGACAACCTTTCATCTAAAGTAGTTCTTTTTGCTGATGACTCAAATTTATACTCCTGTCTTGACAAAAAGTCTCTCTCGATCGCCTAAAACAAGCAGCTGACCTTGAATCCGATTTCACTTCAGTAATAGATTAGGGTTCACAGTGGCTTGTGAATTTCAACTCTAACAAAACCCAGTTGTTTACTGCAAACAACTACCGTAATATGGTCAACATTCATATATTAATGATTGGCAATCCTCTTACTGAGTCCTCCTCTTTATGTCTTCTTGGATTATTGCTTACTACTGACCTTTCATGGAAACCATATATACAATCGATTGCTAAATTAGCTTCTGCTAAGGTTGCTTCTCTTTACCGTGCTCACCATTTCCTTACTTCTGATTCCATTCTCTACCTCTACAAATCTCTTATTCGTCTCTGTATGGAATACTGTTGTCATATTTAGGCTGGTTCTTCTAATGATTCACTTTCTCTTCTTGACAAGGTCCAAAAACGCATTGTAAATGTTGTTGGACCTGGACTATCTGCTAAGCTTGAGCCTCTTTCCCATCGTCGTAAAGTTGCATCTCTTTCTCTTTTATACAAATACTATCATGGTCACTGCTCAAAGAGTTATCATCTCTAGTTCCATCAACTAAAATTCATTCTCGATTTACTCGTCATTCAGCTAAGTCTCACTTGTTTACTGTATTTGTCCCTGCATGCTCTAAAAACTTTTATTCATCTAGTTTTTTTCCCCGCACTTCAATCCTTTGGAACTCTCTCCCATTTTCATGTTTTCCTGACTCATACAACCTTCAACTTTTCAAGTCTTCTTTCAACCGTTTCCTTGCTCTATAACTCTGTTCTTTTTTTTCCTAGTAACTCCCAACTTAATAGTGGTTGCTTGCAGCCTTGTTTGGAGTGAATGCAAATAAAAAAAAAGTCTCTATTGAGTTCCATTATAAAGTTCCAGTTGTTTACAACCATCAAAAAAACTAATATGTCCATCATTGAATTCAATGAAATCAGAAAAAAGCTCCAACACTGTTTCCTTTTAGTGGTACTATATTGAATTGTACATAAGGCCCACAACTGACAACAAGAGTTACTTCTTATGAGAAACGAATTGTACTCTAATCAATGAATTGAAATGGATCTTCTAAAGCTTGCTTGAATGGATACATATATTCCTTGAAAATGTTTTAATACTTACAGACCTATTAGGTACCATTTATAGAAGTCCTTGAAATGTTACAACTTATTTCAGAAAAGTTTAGAATTTGATTTGTGTCTTCTACTTTCTTTCTTAAAACTAATGCAGATCTTTTAATCAATTTTGTCTACTACATGTACTTTTATTTACAGCAGAATTGAATGTAAAGAAAAGTAAATTTAAAAAACACTGCTTTTAAGCAAGCATTTAAATTTAAAGTTTAAGTTATGAACAGTACTCATGTGATAATTAGTTTGTCAATAAAGTCTATGTTTTATGAAAAACATTCTTGACGTTAGCAAAAGGGTAAACATATTTTCAACAATTTGAAGTTTATAATAAAATTACAATCATTTGGATCCTCTGCACTTTGTTTATGTTTTTTGCATGAGTGTTGATTACCTCTAAAATGACACTTTTTCTAAGTTTATGGTTTGGCTTGTTGCCAATTATTATTGTTGTTAATTTTTATCAAATACTTTGAAGATTCTAAAACAATTTAATAACTAATTCAGCATATTATTTATTTACATAGAATTTAAAGTATTAAAACAACTTAATAATTTATTTACTAAATAAACTATTTAAGCATGCTAAATAGTTTAGCATGCCTAAACAACCAAATTGGCAAAATTTAAAAAAAAAAAAAAATCTAATGTGTTATAATACTTAACAGAAGATCTTAAAAATGTAAAACACAAATAATCAAGTTTATTTTTGAATGCTTTAGAGTACATTTACTGATTAATTGCACATTACATATAATACACTTTTAAAAACAAGTTATTTAATAAAGTTTTATTTTAAGCAAAAATAAATTAGTTATATCTTGAGATAGAGAATTAAATTCTACATAAATTAACCCATAAAAAACCTAAAAAATCTATTTACTATAAGGTATGTTATCTAAATAGTTGTAATTAAATACATTATTGTTAATAAACGCTCACTTAGTTTATTTTATTTGCCATACAGTATGGCAGATGCAAGTTTCAGCATCACGTGATAGAATACTATCTATAATCTTAGCAAATAGCCAAAGTATTATGCATATCATTGATGTTTGATAAATTTATCTTATGTGGTTGTTTTGTTGAATTTTTGCAATTTTGCTTTTAATATTGGTTGTAATAAAATATATATATTTTATTTCTTATAAAATTTTTTTTATGGAAAAATGTTTCAAAGTATTATTATAATTTTTTTTAGTGGAAAATGCATGCACACAACAAAAAAGTAATTGTGAATGGTGTAATCCATTATATGGTGAATGGGAATTGTATCCATGGGAATATATTTTTGATAAAAATGGTGATTGTCTCAAAGGTGAAAATTAAATTACTTACTTTAGAATCATATATTTCATTTTACATTAAAATATTTAGCAACAATTATGTTAAACTAAAATGATAAAGTTTTCCAATTAAAAGTTTATTTTTAGCATTCTATTTAATTAGTTTTTTTTTTAAATATTTGAGGCACTTTTAATAATACATAAATTTTTTTTGTATAGTAATATTGAAATAAACATTTACAAGTGTTTCTTAAGATAAACTTGTAACTGTTCTGAAGATAACCTATTGTAACTGTAAGTGTTCTTTAGATATTCATAAGAAAAAATAATAAATAAAGAGTAATACTATTTTCAATTTCTTAAGATAACATTTTGTAACTATTATACTATTTTTTTATTTATTCTTAATAAGAATTTGTTTTATCACAGAAAGTTAAAATTTTTGTCATAGAAAGGAAAAACCTAGATTAGTCAAAGAAAGAAAATACCTAGATTAATCAAAGAATAAAAAATAACATCAAAGTTCTCAAAAAAAGTCTCTGCTTTCTTTATTTGAGTCTAAATACTTATCAATTTTTTTGTTTTCTTACATACAATATCATTATGCCCTAATTTGTTGGGGTATGCAGTTTAACGTGTCATATAAATTTGTTATGTGACTTTATTCATACTATCTTAAAACTTCTTTTAAATTACAAGACTTTACTTTTTTAATTAAGTTTATTTGATTTTTTTTTATGGTTAACATCTATTTTTCGGTATTTTGAAAATATTAATATCGTAGTTTATATAAATGGAATAAGCTTTTTTTTCCTGATACTTATTGATTTTTTTTACCAACTAAGTCTGTTCTGATTTAAAACTTTTAAATTAAGATTATTTGTTTTGGTGTTCATTGAAACTACTTTTAAAAGCCCTGCTCCACCATGTAAAGCAATTTTGCTGTTCCATATTAGTCCTATTATTTGTTTTATTTGATAGAGACCTATTATTTAGTTAAATATTTTATATTTTTGGTATTTTCATTTAAACATTACTGTATGTTTTTCAAGCTTTTGAACAACATACAGTTGTGAAAGCCTTTTTTTTGTTTAAAATTTACATATGGTTATACAATTTGTTTAATAAATAGTGATAGTAATAAATTTAGTTAAGTCCAGTTTAAAAACTTATTTGTTCAAAAAATTAAAATATTTTTGAACATACTGAAGGATGTAATGTAAAGTCAATGGAATTATTTTTTTAAATTAATTTATTATTTTAAAGTTGATGTGTTTTATTACTTTATTAGTTATTAGTTATTCAGTGTTGATTTAATGAATTTAAATAATTTTATTTTATATTTTATTTCCACTTTCAGACGATTTCAACAAAACTTTCTATCAATCATTTAATAACGCTGTTAATGGAAGTTATTTTGTTGACAACTCTGATGGTTATGAAATTAAGCTATCTCCAGAAATTAAATCTGTCTTGGGTTTTATTAATAATGGATTGTCAACTGAGTCTACCTACGTTGTTGTTGCTGATCAAGATGTTTCAAATTATTTGAATAAAAGTTCCTATATGTTTTCTGTCTGGGTTAAACACACCTGCGAAATTAAAAATGAATATCAGCCAATTATAAGTACTTCTCTTGTTGTATTGCTTTGTGGTGTTTTAGGTACAAATGTTCTTTCTATATTACCTACTTTGGTTTATCATGATAATTGTTTGTATCCATTACCTGGAAAGTCTGGTTTGTGGTACAACTTTGCATTTGTTTACAATGAAACTATATCAGTTTACATTGATGGGGAACTGGTTTCAAAAACAGAATGCTTAGACACAGCTTTACATTTTAAAGATAGTGTACAAAATAATGATATACGTGTGTGGAGTGTTGGTTTGAATGCTACTTTGTTAGATGAAGTATTTATTGGAGATGTTGCTCCTGAAACTTTATTCTGGAGCCAGTTAACAGGTTTGTTTTTTAATAGGCTTGTTTCAAGGACAAGTAACAGTTTTTACTTATAAAAATGTCAAAATAATTAATAACTAATGTATTTTATGTACAAATAAATAAATAAATATATACATATATATATATATATATATATATATATATATATATATATATATATATATATATATATATATATATATATATATATATATATATATATATATATATATATATATATATATATATATATCACAAGCAATCCTTCAAAAATAAAAAACTCACAAATGCAACCACGCTTTCTAAATATATATGGAATACACAAAATAAAAATAAAAAAACACCCAGTTTAAAATGGTCCATCATAAAATATGCCCCCGCATACAACAACATAACCAAAAAATGGTTGTTATGCTTATACAAAAAACTAATTATTTTATTGTATAAAAATCCTCAAGAATTATTAAACAAAAAAAACGAACTAATATCTAAATGTCGCCATGAGAACAAGTTTTTGCTGGACAACCACAAACCAAAAGATTAGATTTTTTAACTCATTTTCTTTTGTACAGATTTATTATTTTTACGAAAAAAAAACAACATATTTACACCTGATGATTGCATTTAGCATAAAACTAATAGTTGTGAAAAATATGCAGTTTTATTTATAAATAATATATGTAAATGCAGCTCTGTTTTAATTTAAATCATTTTAATTTACTTTAATTCATCGAGCACTTTCGCGAAGATATATGCAAGCACTAATACGTATACATATATATATATATATATATATATATATATATATATATATATATATATATATATATATATATATATATATATATATATATATATAAACACACTCACACACATATAAAATATTTTTGATATTAAAGGTAATTTGAATTCTAAAAAAATTAAGCAAATGACTAAACCTTCCCGATTCTACTCAACCTCACAAGAAATTTGGTATAGTGAGACAAGTTTACATGGCAGCTATATGAATGAAAGAGTTGTTACAACTATAGAAACTCAGGTTTTTTTTTAATTTTTTTTTAGTTTTCTTTTTAAAAAATGTACATTTTGTTATTATTAATTTTATAAGCATTTTATAACAATCTAATAAAAAATGTGGCCTAACAAGAAAAAAATTACTAATTTTCCTTAATAATTTTTAATTAAAACACTTTTGTGCAACAAATAGTAACTTAAATTTCAAAACAGAAATATCACATGCTCAGACACAATTGCTGTTATAAAAATTAGTAAATGTAAGACATGTTTTATGTATTTAAATTTGCATGAAATTGAATAAGAATTAAGAAATTATTTTGCTGTGTTAATAAAAAGTTGGCAGCCATATTTGATATAATTTTTATCTGGTTCTATACAGTTCTTTTAATAAATTTAGTTGCTCATTTCTTTTGTTTGATTTTCACTTTGTTTTAGTTTTTAAACAATTATTATTGTTGCTTTAACAGCTCTAACTGTATTTCTTCCTAGACTTCTGCATTCTTTCCCAGACTTCTAGCTGTGTTTAAATGGTTATAGATTAGGGTGCATCAAATGTTCCCTTATTTTAAAAAACTCAACCTTAAGTCTAACCTTTGCAACTTAACATTAAATGTCAAAAAAATAGTTTATTTAAAGAATGTAATGTTATGTCTTAAAAGAAGCGAAATTATATAAAAATTTTAAAAGAATTATTATTTTATAAAAAACTAATTATTTTAAATTTTATTATGTAAATGAAATTTGTTTACTAAAAATGAAAAAATTGCATTTTTAATTATAATTTTTTTTTTCAACATTTAAGGTCAGGCTGCAAAGTTCAGACTTGAGGTGGCCCTCTAATACCAATTGCATACTGGAAAAATTTAATAGAGTGAGAACCATTAAAAAATTAAAAAATATGGACAGATCTTTTTTTGATAGCTCGGATCATATGATGCACCCAAATATAGATTTTTAGTTTTATATCAGACTAATGTATAGAAAGATATCAGATAGGTATATGTATTTGTTGGCACACATTTGATTTTCGACACAAGTTTCAATCAACCTGAACATACTTATTAAAAGTGTACCAACTTGGTAGTTTAATGTGAAAATAATCTCTATTTACAAAATAAAAAAATCAATCTAATAAAGAAAGGAAATTGCAAAATATCTTTTGTGAATGGTTTTTTTAAAAATAGTTGAACCCACTTGGTGTAGTTAAGGCGATTTACAAAATATTTAAATTCTTTTATTTAGAATTAGCATGGTTTTGTCTAGTGATTTTGCCGGTTATCCGTTTTAAAAACCGGATAACAGTTCTCATCAATTTGCGGTTAACTAACTATTCGGTTAATTAGTGACGTTTTCTGAATACAGTATCTTTTAAATTTCAATGAACGTAGCATTTTAAACTAATTTTTTAAAAATTAATGTTAAAGTGTACATTTTCAAGACAGTTAGTGAATACAGTCCTATATTATATATTTATAACAAAACATGGAAACAGATATATATATTTTTTTATATTAAAATATAATATACCTTTTTAATTATATAATTAAAAAAGGTAGGAATAATGTACAAGTATAGTTTAAATGTTTTAATATCAGCAGATATTTTAAAATCATTCTTTCATATAAAAACATTTGATTTGGAAAAATTAGATGTTATGAAGTAAACTTTTTTAGCATTTATTTTAAAAACTTATTGTTATGCGGACATAGATGGAAACATAGATGAATAATTTAAATTAATAAAAGAAATATGTTATAATCTTTAATAAATTAACATTTGTCAAACAATAATCGTCATAATTACGATGTTACTTTCTATAAAATTTAGTAACATTTTTAAGTCGGTTTTTATTATTCGAAAATAGATATTTGATATTCGAACAAGATCCGGTTAACCCCAAAACCGGATAACCGGCGAAATCACTAGTTTTGTCAGCATATTATGTCCAAACAAGATCTTTAAATGTTATAATTTCTTTTGCTTCAGATTTTTATAATATTTAAAGAAACCTTTCTTTTTTTTATACAATTTTCAAAATCTTTTTACTACCCGTAATAATGTATCTAAAGTACACTGTTTTGGATGCTTTAGATCAATTCCGCTCATCAGCATTAACATGAATTTAGTTAAAAAAATTTAAAAAAGTTTCTCTTTTTACTACTGATTCTAGTTGTAATCGGTTCTGACGTATATTAACTATATATAGTTGTCTAAACACACTATTTCTATCAATTTTCACAAAAAATACCAAATTCCGACCAAGAAAGAGCTTATAATTATGGAAAATTGCCAATAAACAATCATAACAGATCATAATGTTAAACTATAATGTTCATTTCACTTAAAAAACGTATTAATATAAAATCTTATTCAAATTTAGACAAGCGATTGTGATTTTAAGATGATTAAAAAAAAAAAAAAAGGTTCCACGGTCTGGGTTTTTTCGCTACAAACATTTATATTTTAAGATACCGCAAAATTTATTATTTTAATTTTTTTTTGTCTTTTCATAATTCACAGACCAGACCATTTAACAGAAATATGTCGTAGTCAATAAAATATCATACAGACGCTATAATATTTTAAAAGTGCCTTAACTACACCGAGCATTGGTTTTTTTTTTTGGTTTTTCTGATAGATTCAAATTTATTTCCTAAAAAAATTTTTTTTACAAAACAAAATTTTAGTATTCAATTTTTTTTTATAGTTTCTTTAATTTTGTTTTATAAAACAAAAAATAACTAGTTAACAAATAAACTAATAATATATTTAATAATCTAGTTTTTAATATTTTTTAATTATATTAAAAAGCCAGATTTTAGTATTTATTAATAATATTAGAATAAAAAATCTTAGTATTTCTTTCTGGAATATGTATATATATATATATATATATATATATATATATATATATATATATATATATATATATATATATATATATATATATATATATATATATATATATATATATATATATATATATATATATATATATATATATATATATATATATATATATATGGAACACGTTTTACATAGTTATATAATTATTTCAAAGTTATTAATTAAAATTTCAGTTAATGAAAAAAGATTCACACATTAGCAAGCAACAAAAAATTTCAAAAATAAAATCTGATGACTAATCATTATGCAAAGTATCATTTATTTTCAGAGGCAACTTTATTTTTCAGGATGAGGAACCCTACGTGTTCTATTGGTACTGGCACAGTCAACATTTAAAGTACTTGAATTGGTTAAAATGCTTATTAATTTTGCCAATTAAGGTTTTGGTAGAATTGGCAAGCAAGTATTTTATCTTGTTGCTTGTTATTTATAACATACGAAACAAATAATTTATTTACAAATGATAAACCTGGCTTAGCTTGGTACTATGCTTACATCAAACATTTGAAACATCAATTGAGAGGAAAGCCAGAAAGCAATAAATTGTAAAATTACAACACTAAGGGCATAAATAAACATACTCAAATAGGTCGATGACCAAAACCAACACTACGCAAAATGATCAGCCAATTCAATTCAATTAAATATATTTCTTTCTATTAGTTTTATTTTAACATAACTATTTATTACTTTTCTACTATTTACGTCATTTTTTTCTGTTCAACAAGTTGAATCTGGACTCTTCAGAGTGACTCAATATGTTTTTCAACATATCAAGTTACTTATGTTTGCAGCTAATTAATGTTTCGTAATTTTCTTTATCTGTGTTTGCTTTGGATTACTTTCAGCAATTATTTCAATTATACCATTTTTCTTACTTTTATGTGCCAGACTATGGCTTCCATTTAAACATTTTCCGGTTGGAACGTTCAAACTTTTACCATTTTTTAAGAGGTTTAAGTTTGAACTTTTTTTCTCTAAAAGTTCGAACTTGAACCTCTTCTTCAAAAGCAACACTTTTAATGTTTAAGTTACAAAAGAGTAATGTAAAGAATAATAATAAAGAAATATGTAACAAATGATTTAAAACATTACTTTTAAGTTTTAAAATTAAAATAGTGACATTCATTTAATTGTTAAAGCAATCCCATGGTGGTGCCCATAAAATTTTTATTTGTTAAAAAAATCCCACGGTAAAACCCATTAAATAGATTGTTAAAATTTCTGAATAAAAAAAATAAAAGGCGACCAGCTAATAAAAGTTTTAGTAGTATGAAATAAAAAATATGGATAAGTTTAAAAATGTAAGCACAATTACAAACTCTGAGGCATGGAGATTTTTCGAATTTTCTGAAGAGTTACTGAGTTCAAGTTGTAAAATTATTCTCAAAACACCTGGCTCAACAGCTATAACAAGTCACTTAAAAACAAAACACAAAACTCAAGTTCTTAAATGCAATAACTCTGCACCTTAGGCTGCAGCAAACATTCCTGCTGCCAAAATACAGCAAACTAAAAGTTTTTTCAAAGATGACCCTAAAACTCTATCTGAAATTTTAAGTCGACTATCAGCTATTGATAGAATCACACAATTGCTAAAAGTGAAACTTTGTGATCAGCATTTTATGCATAGGGATACCAAATCCTAAAAAGTCCTTAAACTGTTGGCAATCTTGTCATTAAATACCTCACGTTAGTCAAGAAACAAGTTATAAGTTCTTTGAAAATGAAACTTGTTGATATACATAAATTTAATCTTACATTTGATGAGTATACTTCAGTAAAAAACAAGATAACATGATCTTAAATCTACATCATAATAAGGATTTCAATCACTTAGAGAAACAAAAGGTTATAAATTGATCAGTGTAAGCTTAACTTGTTTGATTTAAGTTTGGACAAAGACATTGTAGCTTCTGTTACTGATGGAGCTAGACTAATGAAAAAAATTGGTCATGACGCTAAACCTGAACATCAAATGTGTTCCAACCCTACTATTTATCTATGTATGATTGATTCGCTCTTTACAAAATAAGTAGTTAATGCACATGGTTCTGATAATAACCCTGTTGACGGTGACTATGGCAAAAATAAGAAGATTGGTTAAAAAATTTTGTAGATCACCAGTGAGCAATGATGATGAACTTTAACCAAATATAATTGAAAAGTTTTACTTTTGTCTGTTTTAACAAAACTAAAATAAAGTTCGAAATACTTTAAACTTTTTTTCCGTAAGAGTTTGAAAATTTTCAGATTTGAACTTTTTTTTTTAAAGTTCTAACTAGAAGCCCTATGCCAGACTACAAAGAGTTTTCAAAATCCTCAAAAAATATTTTTTTAAATACAGTTTAAGAATAGAGAGATTTTGTTGCTACTTCAATATCTATGGTTATTGGTTTTCATAACTTTATAAATCCATCTTCTTTATCCAATTATATTTCTGACAAAAAAAATACTTTTAAAGGCTGCATGAAATGATAATAAGCCATGCAATTTTAAAAATATTTTGAGAACCACTTAATCAAATTTGGACTTTTTATTGTTTTAAAGCAAACTAATTTCCTTTTCAAATAATCTTTAATTTAATAATTTAATAATTTATTTTAAGACAAATTTGCTTTAAAACTATAAAGAAATGGTTCTTGAAATATTTCAAAAATCTCATAAATCATCGTTTCAAACAGTCTTTATCAAATGGTTTAGCTTCATTATCTATAGCTCATCACTGAAATTTTATTTTGTTGTTGTGAAGATTTTCCAAACAGTGTAAAATTGAGTCTTTCTCGAAAAAACAAAATACTATAATCAAGTACTTAACTGTTTGTTTTTATTATTATTTACATATAAAATATGTTTGATAAAAAGTGTAAATATTGAATTTTTTACAAACTTAATTTTAACTAGTAACTTTATTGTTGCATGGCTTGTCCTGATTTCTGCTGATGTTGTTTTAAGAAAGTTGATAAAATTTGTGAGTTCTTTATTGCTTTTACAAACAATGTGCAATCTTGTTAACAAGCTTGATTTGAAAATTTGAATTGAAAATTGATTTGAGGTTACTTGCTTGCATCAGTAAAAATCAAATTTAATGTATGAGCTTGACATCCATAAAAAAGTCAAGGTCACACTACAGAGAAGTCAAGGTCGCTACAGAGAAGAAAGGCTACTCAATTTTTTTAATGTAAATGTAAAAGGACATTTATTAAGAATTAATTGTCATGCTCTTTTCATATTCTATTCATAAAAGTTAAAAAAACTCCACTTTAATCTCATTTAACCTATCATTACACCTATTACAACCTAAAAATTAAATCTTTATGATCAAGCTATGTTTAAAGTCCATTAGTATAATAGCTATACTTAAACCATTATTTTGAAAAACAAAATTTTGCTTATTTTTTGCTATGCTTTTTAACAATAGTGTTTTAATTTATGATTAAAATTTTTTTATGGGTAATATACATTATATTTAATAAAAGCTATAAATATTTTGATGGTTTAAAAGCACTGTGACAGTTTCCAGGACCATTAGTTTGTAAAATTTTAAGAATGCTAAAAATAAATAAAAATAAATAAAAAAACACGTTTTCAGGGTGTTCTGTTTTAATTTGAGTTGCAACTCTATGCTCCTTATTAGATGCGCTTACTATTTATACATTCTATTGCATCTCTACCTCTTCCTGACCTGATTTCTGTTCTTGCTTAAATTTTCTTCATGGTTATGCACTTCTCTTTCTTTTAAATTACAGTCTGCACTAATCTAAATTGTTTTAAAAATTTTCTATTAATTTCTACTAATTTATGCTGTGGAGTAAAGCATAGTCCACTAGTATTTTGATTAAAACAAAGTGCACTTGTGTTTTAAAGCCAACTGATTTATAAGTTGCTCTTTGATAATTTTTTTTGTAAACTGTGACTCTCAACTTCAAATTTTCAGAAAATTTTAACTACATTTTTACTTCAATATTTCTTAGGTCAAACCCCTTTTCACAGTGTTCTCCCCCATAACCAGTCTCTCATTTTTCCAACATTTTTCAAAAAATTACCAAGAAAAATATTAAAATTATTTTTTTCTCTTGTTCTACATGTTTTAGATGCAAATATTGAAACTGTATTAATTATTAACTGTAACTATATTAAAATATATTATACACTATAATCATAGTGCTGCCAAATTTACAGCAAGTCTCTTGCAGGCAGCATATATCTAACCTTCTTCTACCTGCCATCTGGAGATCTTATTGATTTTTTCTCACATAAAACCCATTTTGACTTAATCAACTTTCAATATTGCATCATTTATCACACTTTCATTAGCTACTTTACTGGCGGTCAACTTGAACCAAACCTAGTTATCTTGACATGCTTGCCACTGGCCAATAATATATTTAATCTACTACCCAGCGCAACAGGCAATGCAGAATTTTATTTTGACATTATGCAGTTTTGAAAGAGGTTTTTATAACTAAATGCCAAGAATAAACTTGTTTTGTACAGTTTTTGTACAAAAAACTGTATTTTTGTTACAACACCATCATCAAACTTATCATCCAAGGTTAAAGAACTGCTTCTACCTTTAACGCAATAAAATGGTTTCAAGTTTTCCATATCCTAGGTGAGTTGCATTGATCATGCTAAAGAACATTAACTGTTTATTTTTATATCTGTTGAAGGTCATAATGACGAGTAAATGATATAATAAAAAATGGCTAAATAAATTTCTTGATATAAAAAAACAACATTAAAATTAGTATTGTTGTTGATGAAATGTTAAAAAACAAAACAATTTTATATTCATAGAAATATCCCTATCTAAAACTGCAAAAATTTGTAAATAAAAGTTATAAATATTAAGGTTGTAATTTTTTTTCCTTTTTTTTTAAAAGTTAACAGAATTACTTCAATCAATCAAAGAGTTTTTGTTGGTTGAAGTGACATCAATGCCACTGGTTTACGGGTACTTTTATTTTTTTTCTAAAAATATTTTGATGACATTGCTTGCAACTGTCTATATTTACATCTCAAACTGTGTATATTTTTATTTCAAAGCTATAATGTTGTTCGTTATTTGGATATTTATTTTGCTGTTCAAAGTAATGATGTTTTTCAAAAGGTTGTGGAAGCTTTAAATAGATATACTCATATTTTCTCAGGTACTTTGTGTTCTTGTGTTCTTTGTGTTCCTAAAGCAAACAAAAAAGTTAAATTGTAATCTTTTTTGTTTTTATTTGTTTTTATTTGATAACAAGCAAAATATATGTTAATTAGCTAACATTATTAATTCATTGTCTAAATATATACTAATATAATATAATATAATATATATATATATATATATATATATATATATATATATATATATATATATATATATATAATACTAATTAGGTAATGTTATTTAAACTAACTTTTTGTTTTGTTCTTTAGCTTCTCAAACATTAACATTTCGAAATAATTTACTTACTGCCTTAAATTATCCTGATGATTATTATAATGATTTGGTTGCTCAGCCAAAATATTATGACTATTTACTTGGTAAGAGCTTGTTAAGTTTCTTCTAATTTCAAATATCAACAAAAAATAAACTCTGTTGTTTAAAAGTTCAAAATAAATTAATTTTTACAAATAAATTATTACTATATTTTGAAAAATTATTTTTAATTTTTGCTCAAATTAAAAAAAGTTACAAATGATTTAAGTAAATAATATACCACTACTTATTCTTGTAAGAGATTCTTTCATTGTATTTTTGTACCACCACTTATTTTTGCAAACATATTAAAATACATTAAATATGTTTAAAATCCATAAGCATATAATATTAGTAAATTTTTGAATTAAGTGTACTATTAGTGGCTGGCTAAGGAATGAATGAGATTTATATAAGGTTTGAAAAACCAGGGTTGGGGGTATTGATCAAAGCTAATTAAATATTGATAAATTCTTAAAAAAAAAATAAATTAGCTGTACTAATGTTAATAAAGTAATAATGTTTAAATTAATGTGACTTTTTCAGTGAAGATGAAATATTTATAGCCCAAGCAGTATGTCAACTTCTTGTATTAAAAAATGAGGAAGAGTAGCTAAAGGTGCTTCTAGATCCTATAAACAAATCGCCCAATTTTTATGCTGTGGATTTATTTAGATCACCTCCTGTTTGAATCATACATGATATAATTATATATTGATAGAATATAAAAGTGCTTTACATATCAACAGTCTGAAAATTAGTAAAGCACTTTCATTTAAACTTTTCATCAAATTCATTAAAAATGAAAACTTCAATTCAGATAAAGCCCAATTTTTTTCAACCAATTGTTATCACAATAATTTAGATCTTCCTATATTTATGAATGTACTCGATGAGTCATCTACCCTTCATTGTCAAGGATTAACTCTTACTTCTGATCTTTCTTGGAAACCATATTCATTGCAAAATTCATTGCAAAATTAGCATCTGCTAAGTTTGCATCTCTTTATCGTGCTTGCCACTTTCTTACTCCAGATTCTATTCTTTATCTCTATAAATCTCAAATTTGTAATTGTATGGAATACTGTTGCCATATCTGGAGTTTATCTTCTAATAATGCTCTTGTCTTTTAGACAAAGTGCAAAAAAAACATTTTAAACATAGTTGGACCAACCTTCAACCATTATCTATAAATACTATAATAGGCACTTTTCTATAAATACTATAATAGGCACTGCTCTAAAAAGCTTGCATGTCTTGTACCCTCTACTAAAATTCATTCTAGTGTTACTCGTCATTCAATTAAGTCTCATCCTTTTTTTTGACTGTTCCATAGTGCTCCAAAAACTATTAATTGTCTAGTTATTTTCCTTGAACATCAATTCTTCGGAATTCGTTTCTTTCATCTTGTTTTCCTGATTTATATAATTTGCAATTTTTTAAGTTGTCTGTAAATTGTTATTTTACCCTATAAACTTTATCTTTTCTTTTCCAGTAACTTCCAACTCTAATAGTGGTTGCTTTTAGCCTTGTTGGGAGCAAAAAAAAAAAAAAACCCAATTTTCAAATTAAAAAATTGTTTTAAAAATTATGTTAGGTGTTAAGTTTAATAAAAAATATATAGTTAATAAAATACCTTTAGGATTTGAATTTGTTAGAATTTTATTTTTTTAAAAAAAAGTAAATATCTATAAAAGTTTTTGTAAAGTAACAGTGTTAATTATCTTATGAATTTATTGTATACTTTACACTTATATATAAATAAATTTAAATATATAGCAAAATTGTCTGCATTTAATACAATTTTTGCTGATGCAAGAAAAGGTATTTGTAAATATTTGCATTCTTAAAGTTGATACCAGTGGTATCAACTATAAAATATCCACTATAAACTTTGTGGGTTATCTATTATCTTTTAGTTTAGAGACATTTTAGATATACTTTACAAACTTTATTAAGGTAGTAACTTAGCCTTGTTTATTAAAATGTATTTTAAATCGAATGCTCAAAGTTAAGTTGTATTAACTCAAGATATACATTTGTCTTTTTGTTTTAAAAGTGTTTCCAAACTTCATATGTCAGTTACTAATTAATTTTATCTTCATTCAAAAGTGTTAAAAAAAGCTCAAAACATTTATTATTTAGAGGGATAAACCACAACAAATTTTTATCAGTTCTTTCTAAATTTCTTTTTGAAATTTTTTTACGATAATTAGCTATGATTAAAAGTATTTTTTTTTTAATTTTTGAAAAAAAAATTAAGCTAAGAAAAAAAGATAAAATATGAAACATAAATGTATCTATAGTAAATCTTATTCTTTTCTAGAATATTACTCAACATTTGCATCTTATGAAGTACTTCTTCAAAATAAAACGTTTGTTGTGATCTCATTAAAATTTTTTGAAGATGAAAGATATCCTATCAGTACAGCTTTAATCCAATGGAATCAAAAAGATGGATCTGACACAAACCAAATCTGGTCTAACCAAACTAATTTTATTAAAATCAGTCCTTTAAAAGCTTTTACTGAGTATTTTATTTGCTTCGCCTTTACAACAATTAGAAGGAAGATGAGTTTTTGCACTCGGCAATCTAAAACATTTTGGACTGCTGAAGGAGGTTTGTTTGATTTATTTATATGTACAGTTTTAAATTTATAAATCTATGCACATTTGTTTGAAAGAGCAGCTGTCCATTGCATTTATAAAAGAGCATGCAGTGGTTAGAGTTAACTGACTTAAAACCAAGAGGTCAGAGCTTCGATGTTGGCTCTGACCATAAAAACAACATGTGTGAAGAAAGAGTTGTGAACTTCCTGGTTAAACGCTCTTCTGTGGTGCTCTTCGATGAGATCTTAATTCTTCTTGGAGCACCTAAAAAAAAAGAACTTAAAAACTAAAAAAACTTTTTGTCTTATTTGGCCTATTGAACTAAAATTAATATTATGTAATAAACTAATAATTTAATTGGTTCATTAAGTTTAGTTGTTTTATTAGTGATCATTCAAAAATAACTTGAATATATAGAAAATATTTTAAATATATTGCAGCCGTGGCACAGTGGTTAGATCGCTTGCTTTAGATGCAGGAGATCCAGGTTTAAAACGAACTCTGGACATTTATTTGCGTCACGGTAAGGAAGAAGGCGGGAACTTCCAAGTCAAATGTATCTCCACAGTGCTCTGTGACAAGACTGCTAGGTCTTCTTGGAGCACCTAAATCATAAAATTAAAAAAAAAGATAAATACATACATATATATATATATATATATATATATATATATATATATATATATATATATATACATATATATATATATATATATATATATATATACATATATATATATATATATATATATATATATATATATATATATATATATATATATATATATATATATATATATATATATATATATATATATATATATATATATATATATATATATATATATATATATATATATATATATATATATATATATATATATATATATATATATATATATATATAGTTGTCATACCAAAGTCTGCAACTTAATTTTCAAAGTATTTATAGTATTAAAATAGTTGCTAACTTTTTACATTTGAAGCCATACAACAGTGTTCAAAAAATGATGTTAACCCTCTGACATGTTAAGACAAAAAATGTCATAACATGTCTGAGGACCCATTAAAAAAAAACCTATAACTATTGGGGAAGTTCAAATATTATCTATGTTTTTGACTTTTGAACCTTTGTATTATGAAAATATAATTTATATAGGATTAATTTTTTGTTGGCTTAATTTTTTTATATATAAATATATATACATATATATTTATATGTATATATATTTATATATATATATATATATATATATATATATATATATATGTATATATATGTATATATATGTATATATATATATATATATATCTTTATGTGTATATATATATATATACATAAATATTAATGTATATATATATATGTACATATATATGCATATATAGATATACATATATATATACATATGTAGACACACACACACACACACACACACACACACACACACACACACACACACACACACACACACACACACACACACACACACACATATATATATATATATATATATATATATATATATATATATATATATAATAGTACTATTAAAGATATATATTATATATATATATATTCATATATATATATATACATATATAATATATATATATATATATATATATATATATATATTTATATATATATATATATATATATATATAATATATATATATATATATATATATATATATATATATATATATATATATATATATATATATATATATATATATATATATATATATATATATATATATAATAGTACTAATAGTACTATTAAAGTAAGTTATAGTTATACAAAAAGTATATATATATATAAAATAGTACTAATAGTACTATTAAAGTAAGTTATAGTTATACAAAAAGTATATATATATATAAAATAGTACTAATAGTACTATTAAAGTAAGTTATAGTTATACAAAAAGTATATATATATATAAAATAGTACTAATAGTACTATTAAAGTAAGTTATAGTTATACAAAAAGTATATATATATATAAAATAGTACTAATAGTACTATTAAAGTAAGTTATAGTTATACAAAAAGTATATATATATATAAAATAGTACTAATAGTACTATTAAAGTAAGTTATAGTTATACAAAAAGTATATATATATATAAAATAGTACTAATAGTACTATTAAAGTAAGTTATAGTTATACAAAAAGTATATATATATATAAAATAGTACTAATAGTACTATTAAAGTAAGTTATAGTTATACAAAAAGTATATATATATATAAAATAGTACTAATAGTACTATTAAAGTAAGTTATAGTTATACAAAAAGTATATATATATATAAAATAGTACTAATAGTACTATTAAAGTAAGTTATAGTTATACAAAAAGTATATATATATATAAAATAGTACTAATAGTACTATTAAAGTAAGTTATAGTTATACAAAAAGTATAGAAAGAATTAAAAAAAATACAAATTACAAAAAATATTACTTTAATACTTACTTTTAGTTAAATTGGAGATGAACAAAAAACATTTTTATAACAGTTGGGCTGAAAAGTTCGTATCGTTTAATAGAAAAACACATTTTTTTTTCAAAATTCGGTTTTATTATTCAACATAGTTTCCATCAGAGGCGATTATAGCGATCTTCCAACTTTTCGATACCATTTTTGTAGTACGATTTGTCCTTTGCTTCGAAATAGGCTTCAGTTTCAGCGATCACCTCTTCATTGCTCTTAAATTTTTTACCAGCGAGCATTCTCTTGAGATCTGAGAACAAGAAAAAGTCACTGGGGGCTAAATCTGGAGAATACGGTGGATGAGGAAGCAATTCGAAGCCCAATTCGTTCAATTTAAGCATCATATTCATTGACTTGTGACACGGTGCGTTGTCTTGATGAAACAGAACTTTTTTCTTCTTCAAATGAGGTCGTTTTTTTTTATTGTGAGTTCACGCGATTGTGAGTTCACACGGCACCCATTTTGCACAGAGCTTTCTCATATCCAAATATTCATGAATAATATGTCCAACGCGTTCCTTTGATATCTTTAAGGTGTCAGCTATCTCCAACAACTTCACTTTACGATCATTCATAATTATTTTGTGGATTTTTTTCACATTTTCATTGGTAACAGCCTCTTTTGGGCGTCCACTGCGTTCATCGTCTTCGGTGCTCATATGACCAGTACAGAATTTTGCAAACCACTTACGAATTGTTGCTTCGCCTGGTGCAGAGTCTGGATAACACTCATCAAGCCATTTTTTGGTATCGGCAGCACTTTTTTTCATTAAAAAGTAATGTTTCATCAACACACGAAATTCTTTTTTTTCCATTTTTTTCACAATAACAAAAGTAGCGTCACTACTAGAGCAATATATCACAAACTAATAATCTGACAGCTGTCAAATTTTTACACATATCTTTTCAAGGTTGGTACTAACTAAAAATGGTATGAATTTAATTCTAGTGGCGCCATTTCTTAGAAACGATACGAACTTTTCAGCCCAACTGTTACCTTCTCTTTTCAGAAGTGATTTCATAAACTCTCTGATGTTCTTACAATACAGAGACTGCTGCATAAATTTTTTTACTCATACACTTATCTCTTATTAGGGGTGGAATTTAACTCTTATAAACTCATAAATCATTTAAGTAAAGTAATTCCTTATATAAAGAAATCTAGATTAATTTCAATTATAATTAAAAATTTGCTATCAACAATAACATTCATATTAAAAATTTAAGATTATTTTTAAACTGATTTTTATATTTTGAATAAACAAACTTTTTTATAGAACCTGTTCAACCTCCTAGTTTAAATTGTTTATCTAACCAATTAAATAAAACTATGAGATGTGACATTGGTGAAATAAACACTCAAAATTGGATAGGAGTTCCATATAGTTATAACTTGGTATACAGAGTAAAGTTGCCAGGCGATAATTGTAATAACAGAGAAAGGTTTAAATTTTATTTTTAATACATTTTCAAAAATATAAATAGCAAAGAATTTTTTAATGTACAACTTTAATTGTAACCAATTTATTTTTAGCATAATTTTTTCTTTTCCTTTTTTAGTGATTTAAATCATTACATTATTGTATATTATAATTCTATAAAAACAAACCCTGAAAAATTACGTGTGATTTTTGATACTTCTGATTTTCATTTTGTACAACTTTGTGTTTTTGCTTATGCGGCAACTCAAGGTGGGAATGGAATTGGTGTTGCAAACTTTATTGTTATAAGAACTCAGAGCACTGGTAAGTACTAAAATGAAAATATTATTTTTGAGGAAAAATTGTCAAATTTAAAAGTTGTTTATATTTAGATTTTCAAAAAATATAGTAATAATAATGATAACAATAATAATAGTAATAATAATAATAATAATAATAATGATAATAATAGTTAATTAATAACTAAAATAATAATAATTATTATAGTTAGAGAATAAAGTGCAATTACTATGGACACAATAGTAATGTAGTAGATTAGCATTGTATAAGCAACTATGAGTTTGGGGAAGAGTCTACAAAAAGTTCATCTATTTGGTTTTTTTGAATGTTTTTAAAAAGGTTGAGTTGCGGAACGGTTTATTTAAAGTTATCTTAGATAAACCATTTTAAATTTGACGTGCAGTCATACTGAAAAATTTTTAGCCCAAGAAAGTTCTTGGTTGGCAACATGTAAATTGGTGACTTACATGTCCTTGTATGTTTTTTGTTTTGTTTTGAAATATGGGTGTCTAGGAGTTCAAATAGATATGCAGGAAATTTGGTTAATAAAATATTGAATAAAATAACTGATATCTTTTAAATTATTCTTTGATGAAATTGTAAATAAAGAGATTTTAGATTTTTTTCGATTTAAATTGAAAAGAGAATGAGAATTTTTTTTTTTAATTAGTTTAATTAGTAATAACGATTTAATTAATAATAGTTAATTTAATTTAATTTCTTTAATTTAATTTTTATTTTATTATTTTTTATTTTTTGAATATGTTGCAGTTTTTAAATTTTTTTTTGCTAAGCACCTGATAAAAAGTTGCTACAATAGTCAAGTTGAGAGTTGATAATGTCGCAAGCAATTTTGGTATTGTTACAACTTCTTTGGTGAGACATAATAGATGTAGCAAATAACACAAATATGGTAGTTGCCAGATATAGCAATGTTTATGAGCTAGTCCACAGAGTATTGAATCTAGGATGATGTGATATTTTAGGATTTTTACTGAATTTACTGTAGTTTTTATTATTCCAGAAAATGTTATTTTAGAATCATTTTTATATTTGTCAGTATATTTTCAGAAAAATCCTCAAATCTCGCATCATCCTAGATTCAATGTTCTGTGGACTAGCTTCCTAGCTCCAAATAAAATTTTTGTTTTGTTTAGGTTAAGCATAAGTCCATTTTCTAGAAACCATTTTGTAACTGCTTAGCACATTCAGAGATTTTGTTGATGCTAACTTTTCTTGGGCCGATTACAGTATATGTATTATTGGCATATTGATAATGATTTGTACCAAGTTTAGCTAAAATGCAATATATGTAAAATAAACATGGAAAATAGAAATGAACCTTTTTTTTTTACCCTATGGTACTCACATTGAACTTGCTATCAGTCTAGATTTTGTTCGTCCAATAGAAATTAAAGATTTTTAAGAGTGCATGAAGTATGATATCAGTCATTTTAGTCTGATATCTGTAGCACCAAATTCATCCTTAATATTGGCAAATAGCAGGCTGTGGTCGACTGTATCAAATGCTGAAAATATGTTCAAAGAGTGAAGAAAAGTGATCAAACCATCATCAATGTTTAACCGGATGTCATTGCACATCTTTAAAAGTACTGTTTTAGTTGAGTGATTAGATCTAAAACCTGATTCTAAAAAATTAAAGTTTATAGATAAAGTTACATGTGGAAAAAGAAAAGATAAAGCAAAACTTTTCAAGAATTACAAAAAATCTATTAAGACTTAATATAAAGGGCAGATTAATAAGGTCAATATAGAGTGTTGATTGGTGAGTTCATATACTGTTAGTCCTGATTTTTAAAGATTTAGTGTTATTTGAGCAACTTTATATGTGGCTGGAAAAATTCCAGATTTAAATTTGAGGTTAGCAAGGTGAGCTATAATTATACTGAATAATTCTGAACATTATTTACGGATGTTTGTTGGAATAATATCAAGTGGTGATGTCTTAGGTTTAAGCATTTTGTTAACAAGATGAGTAAGGTTAACAAGGAGAGCTGTAATTGAAATGAATAATTTTGAACATTAATTAAGGATATTTGTGATATAAAAATAATATCATTGTATATCTTTAAAAGCAGTGTTTTAGTTGAGTAATTGGATCTAAAACCTTATTCTTAAAAATTAAAATTTATAGATAAAGTTACATGTGAAAAAAGAAAAGATAAAGCAAAGCTTTTCAAGAATTTTTAAGGATGTTTGTGATATAAAAATAATATCAATTGGTGATGTCTAGTTTATAAGTATTGATTATTTTTGAAACATCTGTAGGCGTTACTGTACAAAATGTTGTTAAAATATCTACAGGGCAAGAAAACTCTTAGATGAAATAATATTTTAGGATTGTCACAAGTCTTTTTTAGATAGTATTCTTTATACTCTTAAATTAGACTTATTGTATCTCATTTTGATTTCTGGTATTGTGTTATTAGCTTACTGTATTAGATTACCTTATGTTGTGTTAAATTTTTCCATTTAATGAGTACATCTAAATTTAAAAATTGCTGCAGAAGCCTCATGACATGCAATTCAATATAATTTTTTTATCTGATAAATTATCAGTTTTTCTACAACAACATTCTAAATTACTGTCTGCTTTTTTTAATTTTATCATCTGAAGATAATTATTTATCATCATGTTTAATAAGTCTCCTATAATATTTCTGAGTAGGTGCCAAATTTTAAAGAACAGTTCAATATATTTATTCTTGATAATTTTTTTATTATCCACCACATTGCTTTTAGGTATTAAACAACATTACATCACTTAAAATTCTTTTATTAGGCATGATATGTTTCGTTTATTAAATTTTCATTTTGAAAACAATTTTACCATTTAAAGGTTAATAATAAAGTGCAACCCATAACATACAATGATTGAAAACACTCTCGTCTGTTACCTAAATATTATTAAGTGAAATCTCATTATATCATCAATTTATTATTAGATAAGCAATGTTATACTGGTAGTAGATGGTATATGAGTTGGAGCTAGAACTCGTTGTATCATGTTGTAGGCCTCTAGAATACCAAAAGTCTTGATTTCACCAAACAGAAGTATTTCTCCAGATGGTTTTTAAAGTTTTTCTAAAAGATAGAGAATTCTAAAAAGAAAATGCTTGTTGGAATGATTAGATTTGATCAATAAGTAGCAATAATATATATAATATCTATAATTTGCTAGATTTAGTTTATTATAGGACAGCCAGGTAGACAATAATAAGAGAGGTTTAATATATAATAAGTAGTGAGTTGTCATTGTATATTATTGCTACACCTTCCCCACAATGGTCTGATTGGCAGATCACCATTTTGAAACCTGATGGTATTATATCTTCCTGAATTGCAGTAGGATTGTCTGACTTAATCCAAATTTTAGTGAGTATGAAAGTATCTATTGATTGGTTTTGTATATGTCATGAATGATGGCAGATTTGTTTATAGCAGGTCAAACATTTTAGATACCTATGTTTAGTGTAAATAGTCTAAATGGTTCTGGAGAGGTTTTTTTAATTTTTATGTGTAAATTATGCTGATTTGGTTTTGATCCATTTAAGTTTATCTAAACACCAGCATTCTTTTTTTCAATTATGTACATTGCACCATAAAACTTTTGAGTTTATTTGGCTCTCCATTTTAGAAAGACTAGATGTTTGGAGCCATAAAACGGGTCATGTTAAGTTTGCTCCACATCAATCATTTCTATATTTATTCTTTATATGGTCTCTTTTTTTCAATAATTTTTAGTATATGATAGAAAATAATTGGTTTAAAAATCATGGATTTCCACCTGAGTTTTTTAAATATTAATGTATTTTTTTAATATTTTGAAACTTTAATTAATATCCCCCCACCCCCGTTTTCCTAATCTTTAATTGGAAAAAGAAAAAAGTTATTTAATTAGCAGTAATCAAAATTCAAATAAAGAGTTTTTACCAAAATAATAAAATGCCCAACAGATTTGTCTATATAAGTAAGTATATTTTATTGAAAAAAAAAATTTTCATTTACTAATTAATAAAATATAACAATTGTCAATTTTTGTAACCTTTTGTAAAAATACGTCATCAGACTAATCTAAAAAAAAAATAATTAAATAATAGGGTAATACATAAACGGAGTATGATAGTTCACTTCCAAACCTACTATTTATATAATTATTAATTATAATTTATTTTAATATTTTTTAGTAAATGGTAGAAAAGATTGATATAAGTAGAAAATTGGTGGAAAGTTAAGAATAAAAAATCTGTAATTTGAAATTCAAAATGCAATAGTTTATATTCTAATAATTAACAGGGGTGGTCGCTTATTGGTTTCTTTAATCTGACACCTTTTTATCGATTTTCAAGGAGTTTTAGTTTTACTGAGTATTTAATTTTTATATGAAAACTGGAAATCAATTTATCTGTTTATGTTAACTTTTTTTGATATTGTAGTTGATAATAATATTTATTGAAAAACCAACTATAAAATTTGTTTTGAAGAGCAAAAGTATAAAAATTAAAATACTAAAGATAAAATTTCAAGTTAAAGATATAAATAAATTGCATTTATAGCTAAATGTTTCCTTGGCTTTTAGTAAATGAATAATCTAAGTTGAATAAAGCAGTAATGAAAATACCTAGTAATCATTTTTAATGATAGATACCAGCAGTAAAGTAAGCCAAGCTATCTATCAATACAAAACATCACAAAAATAATGCTTCAATGATAACACACAATAATAGTACAAAGCATACAACAAAGTTTTTGTAAGAACACATTACATATTTAAGTAGGGGAGAGAACAGTGGGTACAGCTCCAAAACTTGGTTTTATGGTTCTGAGGCCGGCTAGTAGTCAGATTTCCCAAGGTCTGTGGTAGCTCTCAGAGAGGTTGATTCCATCAACAGCTGTTGATGTGAAACATGACATGTGAAAGTAAGAACAGGGACATCATCCCATCCCATGACATTTGAAAGTAAGAACAGGGACATCATCATGTGAAACAGTGCCATGTTTCACATGGATGATGTCCCTGTTCTTACTTTTAGTGTGAATTGTCGAGGCCACATTTAAAGCCCTTTGTTATGACTCAGAGTTTATAATTAGTAATGAGGCAATTGCTTAAACTATTAAATAGTGTACTGAGTACTATCTATGCTTTAAGTCAAGTTCTTTAACAAATTTAAAAATAATTAAAGTACAAAAAACTATAAAACACAAAAAACCATTGCCATCACCAAGTTCATATTCCTATCATTTACTAATATTCGTGGTCTTCGAAGTAACTTTTCTTCTGTTGAGTCTTTTCACTTTCAAAGCTCACCAGACCTACTTGGTCTTTGTGAGACTAATTTGAGTTTGGCTGTCTCATCTTTTGATTTTAGTGTTGATGGTTATCTTCCTTTAATTTATAATGACTTCAATAGTCACATGCTTGGCCTAGACAAGAATTCACCAATTTGTCAGGAAACTAGGTTTAAATCCACAGACTACTCATTTATGTGCTTTCGTTTAGCACCACTTCACTTTTACTAAACATTGTCTTATAATTTTATTATTACATAATTTTTGAAAAATAAGTGAACATAATTTGTATTATTAGTATCATGTATAAAAATTAGCCAACTATAATAATAATATTATTCTTTAAAAAAATGTTTATTAAGTTAATTTTTTATTTATCATTGCCAAACTATTTTAATTCAGTTTAAGTATATGTCTTTTATTTATTTATTAAATTTATTATTAATTTTTAAAGCGCCTGATATTGCACCTGATGGTTTAAATGCAACTTTCAATAACACTGAAGTTTTATTTGAGTGGCAATCTCTTGAAAATGATATAGATGTCTGGAATGATGTTAAAGCAGGCTCTTACCGTTTAAGCTACGGAATGTTAAAAAGTTCATTACCAATTAAAGTTGATTCTTTTAAGACTGTTAATGTAAGCAATAATCAATATGTTTTAAAAAATGCAACCGGATGCCATGTTTACATTGCTTATGTAAATGCCTATTCTATTGCTCTTGGTCCTGCAAGTCCTAATATATGTTTTCTTTGTCCTATTACAAGTGAGTATTTTATTAAATATATATAAGTTATCGATTTTTTATCAGACAATCCTTAAAATTTGAACCAATTAACACCAAACAACTTTTTATATTTGAATCAATCAACATCAGACAATCATTTATATTTGAACCAATCAACATCGGACAACCCTTTATATTTCATTAAATTAACTTAATAAAAACTTTCAAATTAAAAGATAGAATTTAATTTTTCTTATTATAATTTTTTTAATGATAATATTTTAGAGCCTGACTGTTTAAATCCTGTTATTAAAGCTTATTATCTTGTCGACCCAAGAACAGCCGTTATTCTTCCTGATAGTTTTGATCCTACATATTTTAGAGGAGTTGAAAAGTCATGGTTATTTCATGTATATGTTACAGGAAGTTATGATCCTGGACCTATTGATTTAAATTATCGTAATAAAAAGTTTAATTTTCAATTTTCAATTGAAGACTATGCTGAAAAATCTGCAATATGTGATGATGACAAATTATTGAGATTTCTTAATCAAACTACTAATTATGAATTAACTCTGATAGGATTACATCCTTATACAAGTTATAAAGTTTCAATTCAACCCTGCAATGAACATGGTTGTGGTAACATTTCAAATCCAGTTTTTTTTACTACATACTCTGACATACCAAGTTGTTCACCTAACTCACTTTACTTACAAAATGAACCTGATGTAGCTGTGGTTGTATCATGGAATGCACTAGATGATAGTTGTGCTAATGGAATTTTAGAAAGCTACACTCTTAATTGCTCAGGAGAACAATCAGGCCTCCTGGAAAATATTACTTCAGATCTTTCAATAATGTTTATCAATTTGCATAATTATGAGATAATTTGTTGTCAAGTTGCAGCAAATAATATTAATGGAACAGGACCATATAGTTCTGAAAAATGCATTCGCACTCCTGAAACTGGTACAATTTTTATTTATTTTCTGTAAATATTAATAACTTTTATTTATTTTCTGTCAATAAAATAAAAATTCTATTTTTATAACTACAAAAGCAATTTTTTATAATATAGTTTACAAATTTATAATTTTTCATTTACTATTTTTGCATTTTTTAAATATGTATTTAAGAACCTGATGCTGCTCCAATGCCAAGTAACATTGAATTGACATCCTTTACTGGGCGTTTTACAATATTCCCTCCTGATCGTAATAAGATGAATGGTGTAGTTTTGGGTATTAAAGCAACCATAAGAAACATTTCTTTTGCAAATTCAACTTTTGAAACATCAAGACTGCAGCATCGATCTTTACCATATTCTGAAGAATTTGATTTTTTTTTTACTCCTATTGATTTGTACAGTGGTTCAGTAAATATTTTGTTTGAATTTTTGCTTCCATCATTTGTGTATAATGTAGAGCTACAATATTTTAACTCAATTGGTTATGGTCCTTGGAGTGATACTTATCAAATCATTACAGAAGAATATTGTGAGTATTTAAATATATTATTTTTTAAATTAGTTGTTTTTTTGTTTTTATATTTATTAGTTTTTATGTGCTTATTTTGTACTTTTTATTGTATTAATTTTGCTGTTATATTTATATACCAAGTACTATAAATTCAAAATTATTTTGAATAATTTACATCTCAAAAAAATCAAAATTATTTAAAAAAAATCTCAATATTATTTTAAATAATCTACATCTACTTGATAATCAAGGTTGCGATGAAGAAATGAAACCAAAATGAAGAAGTGAAGCCCAAACACCACATCTTTTGATCTTTTGTCTATAAAAAAAGCGCTTTATAGTTATAGTTTTACTTTTGCACTAACTAGATGTTGTAAATACTAATCTCAACTATGCTTCAGGGTTAAGGAGTTGAAAAAAATGACAACAATTTCAAAAACATTTTAAAACATTGGTAGGTTTCTTGACTTTAGGCTCCCCACAACCTTGAAAAGAGAATCAATATAAAAAAGTATATAAGTTCCTAAATGGACTACCAACTCCCAACAAATGTTGTTTTCATTCTAAAGAAAATGTTAAAAAAAAAATGTTTGAGTTAATTTCTTTTTTGTTAAAACTAAATAATAAATGTATATCAACAAAAACAAACTTGTTGTTTTATTTGAAGCTTGCCTTTTCCATTTTATTCTGTATCTTGGAGTCTTTATAATATATGCCATAACATACAGACTTGATCATTTATTTCAATCCATTTAATTTGTAATAATTTTTATATATGATGTCTATGTTTTTATTTTTTTAATGTTTCAAAATAATTTTTCCACATACAAACAGCAAACCATATTTATTGTATAATTATTTATTAAATCTTGTTCATCTAAACATACCTGCAATAAGGAATGGCAAAAAAATGGAAAAAAATTGCTATTAATTGTTTTTATGAAATTTTAAAATCAATCCTAAAGGGGTAGCATTGCATTAAGGATTATTTTTAAATAGAAATATTCCTTTCATTGATGATTTTGATTGTATTGTTGTTTGTGTTTTCCACCTGCATATCTTGAACTAAAATGCCCATTTTCTACATGTTACTTGTTCCCACTTGATTTAATCGTAAAACTTCTATATTTGATTAAAAATGATGTTTAAATAAGAATCATGCATATTATACATATTAATGAAAATATTGAATTTGACAATAAGAAATAGATCCAATCAAGTATATATTTATAGAGTATTATTAAAACTATTATTTAAGAACAATTTTAAAAATGTAATGTGGTACTTTGTTTTTTATTTTATAAGAAAAAAATATTGTTACATTCCTGGATCTTTTTATTGTTTCAAATCTACTAATAAAATTTGATCTAATAGGAAAAAATCTTTGTGGATTTTAAAAGTTATTATTACATTTTAATGAATGATGAGGGAAAGAAATAAAATAAAACAAAACATGTAATTATCATAAAAGTATCACTTATAAGTGATTAAATCTTTTGGCTAAGTTTTAAAAAGGTAAGACATTTTATTTATGTTTAAAAGTAACAATTATGTCAAAATAACTACACCCTCAATTGAGAAGGAAACGCCTTTTTTTTAATCATAGGCTAGTTAAATATTATTGTATGATTAGGTTTCAGACTGTTTGAAAAGTTATTTACTTATTTTTTAAAAATTTGTGGGTATCACAGGATCAAGAATTTATTCAATAAAAAACTTAATTTTCATCATCTTATAAATTAGATTCACCACATTATTTGTTTTTAATTCTTTTTTAGTTTAAAATTGAGTTTTAAGTCCATTAATTGATTGTTAAGTATTAAGTTGCGTGTTAATAACCCTCACCCTCTATTACTTTCCCATTCGGTTTATTATGAATACCTCCTCCAATTTTCGGATTAATTCTGAGATTTTGCCATGTTTTATGACAATATCATAAAACATGGCAAAACGTTGTTAAATGTAAAAAATTCTTAAAAATTCTATAGGTTTTCATTTTGTTAATTACTCTTTCAAAATGTATCCCTAAATTAGCTTTTTGTTTTTTATTTTACATTCAGATGCCGTCATCTGACATTTAAGATGAGCACCTAAAAAAATGTCCAAGTTGCAAAATCTTAACAAAAGTTCTTCCTGAACTTGAAATCCATGACTTCATCAACATGGACTAACAAGTCATAAAAGTTCTTTTGTTATAAATTCACCAGAACATCATCCCCCATAACAAACATGAAACTTAAAAATGACATGTTATTTATAATCAAAAAAGGTTGATACTTGTGCTAGGAGAGATTTTTGTTGTTCAATAAAAAATCTAGCAAAATCAATAATCATTCTGCATTTTTAATACTCTAGACAATTTTTCTTTGATTGAATAACATGGAAGCCATACAATATGACCTAACACACTGCCAAAAAATTTAATTCATGTGGTGTGTTAGAAAAAGTAGGAGAGCTCTGCAATGTTTTCAATAAAAATTTATTTTCATCTAATAAAAAGGTGAAGTTGTTTAAGTGTTAAAAAAATTTTTTTCACAATGTGAAAGTTTTCTAGATTTAGGTAAATGAAATTTGCTAAAAATGAGCATATTTGGGTCCTCCCAATAATTAGTATCTAAACTTCAGAAGAAAAGGTATAATAAGTGAGAAGATGGCATTAAATAAAGCTGTTACAAAGTTTTTTTTTTTTTTTTTGCATGAAAAATTAACAATTTCTTAGTTTGAATAACTTTTTTTGATTAATTTGCTTCAAGGATATATTCAAGTAGTTGATTTTTTTAATGAAAGAATCAATTAAAGTATTTTGTATTACATCCATTGCACATATATAACTTATTATACACACGCCCATATTATGACTGGCATATGAAGCAGCTTGTTGGTGATAACTAATTTATATTATTATTGTTAATATTATATAACTCAATGGTATTATCTTGGTATAAGTCTGGATTGGCTATGGATGGTGTTCCATCTTTCAAAATTAATAGAACATACAAGGTTACTGTCACATGGATTTTATTTTTTCTTTTTATTCCACTTTTCTCTTTCTCTAGAATTTCTTAAAGAGTTTGTACAAAAGTAAAAATTGAAAGTGTGGTTACAACACATTGTTCTTTTTACAAACTTTCATGAATAATGCATTCTTGTTTTTTCCATTTAAAAAGTTTATAATGGCTATTTGAACAATCTATAACTGCACATTTACCTTTTCTTATTGTATTGAGTTAATAAACATATAAATATTAAGTCTTAAAAAAGATTTAAAATATCTTTTTATCAAATATTCAGGCTCTTACCACCAGAATTAGAATTCATTCCTCATCTCACAAAAATAGTAGAACTTTAAGTTAGATAGGTGTATTAAAATAAATAGATTTTCAAATAATCAATTCAAAGATTCTAATTAAAAAAAAAAAACATTTAAATCATGAGGCAATTTTAAAATGCTTTGAATTTATCTATTATCTAAAGTAATAAGTTTTTCATCAACATTGTTACATTAACATGTAAACAAATAAAGCATTGTGTATCTAAGGATTTATAATTAGAATACAAGTTATCCAATTTGTAAAGTCGGTTAGAAATATTTTTTGAGCCAATTCTTGTATTTTTTATTTTATTTATCATAACTTTTATGTTGTTTCTAATTTAATTTAGATTCTGAAGCACCAAGTTTAATATCATATTCAAGTAACAATGTAAGAATCATAACAGTTAATTGGAGCAGTATTCCTATTGAAAAGAGTAATGGAATAATATCTCGATATATAATTTGTCGTAGTCAGATATTAGACAGTAACGTCATTGGAAGAGAAGTATGCTTCAACCACACAAATCTTTTAGTCCTTGAGTTTAACTTAACTGATTTAGATCGTGGAAGCACTCACAATGTTAGTGTTGCTGCATGCAACATGGCAGGATGTGGAAAGAAGATTTATATTCTTGCAAGTGCTATGGGATTCAGTACGTGCTTGTATTTTGGCTAACTACTAATTATCATGATTAATTTACTACTAATTATCATGACAAACTTTTTTAATATTGATATTTAATTTTAGCTGACGGACATTGGTTAGAGTGGTCAATGTGGGGGGCATGTAGTAAGACATGTGATGAAGGTCAGAAGATGAGGACACGAATTTGCACACCTCATACTGAAGGAGGTTATGATTGCTCTGGGAGTAACTTAGATTTCACAACTTGTCAACTGGCAAGGTGTTCAGGTAAAAAAAATTATAACTATGGAGGTGTTTATTTATTTTATTTGAAGTAAAATTATAATTAAAAATTGTTTTACTAAAATACACTCTTAATATATTTCTTATTAATATGTTTGTGTTAAGGTTTTGTTTTGGGAAGTGAAGGTCAAACAAATTGTACAGCTGTATGTGCTCGAAACAATTACTTATGTTCACCTTTTTATTTAAAACCTTATAATGATACATCTCTTTTTCTGGATGCAGTTATACCAATTAAATGTAAAATTAATTTGGCTAACAAAGTCTACAGCTCTGATTTAGATCCTAGTTTTGATAACAGTACAGGTGTTTGTCATGGTTACATTAACATTCCAGATGAAGTTCCTTGTGAGAGTAAAAGTACCTTTAATCAACCAAACATGCACAGGTTGTGCAATTGTATCAGTCCAGGTAACATTTTGTTTAATACTCAATGGATGTGCTCAAATTCCTTGTTTATTAAATTCATTTTAATGATTAATTAGTTTAATATTTGTGTTTATTATTCAGGGGCAGAATTTAGCTTTTCAAAAAGTTTGTCAAGAAATGGTATTGGCTCCAGAAGAAAAAAATAAGAAAGGGGGATACACACAGGGTTCAAAAAATCAGAAGTCATACCATTTAAAAATTTCTGATAAATCAGTTTCTAATAAATCAGTTGTTTACAAAATTCTTTAACAAAATGGTTTTTAACTTATTTTACACTATGAAATCACCACTAAAAAGTTTTTTGTAATTAAATGCAACAGGTTCTAATGAGATGTTTTATGAATTAAAAAAAAAAAGCATATGCTGATGCTGATTTAAGACAGCTAGAGAAAAAAAAACACAACATATTAATCTAAAATAAACATAATAATGCTCCAAATTTACTACGTTGTTATATACAATACAATATATTTTTGACTTTTAGTTATATGTAGTTTTTGATTTGTTAAAACAATAAAATGTTTCAAAACAAAAATATGAACTGAAAGCAAGGAAACTGAAAGAGTTGTGCTTTTTTCTAATTATTATCTGATCAAATCAAATTCTGAATTTAATGATAAAGATTAAATTTATTGATAAGAAACAGTTTAATAAAGTTTAATAACTTGTTCAACTAGCAATAAAAATTGCATAAACTTGAATATAACTGTTTGTCTTATCAAGTAAATGTGCAATATTGTTAAAGGTTTTTTTTAATGATACACTAAAACTATAGATGAAATACCTAAAACCATAGATAAAAAATTAAAATACTTTTACATAAAATTTTACATACGACAACTTTTGCATTTAAACAAATATGTTTTCTATTATTAAAATTTTTACAAGATCAATTTTCATAACAATTTTTTTTGCTTTTTAATTCATTCAAACTTTTTCGAATATTAGAAATTCCTTTTTGTAAAAGGTTAAATAATCTAAATTTCGTTTTAAAATAATCTAAATTCAGTTTGTCACTTAAATGTGATCAATTTTTAATAAAATAATTTTCCGGGTTTTTCCAGGATTATCATAGAAAAAAAATTTCCGGGATTTTCAAAGTCAAATACTCATCTATGTAAAACCTACCTGTATGTACTACATTCAAATTATTCTTTAAATAGACAAGGTTTGATTGACAGGTGCCATATAAATAGTATAACAATATTAATTATAGAAGAAAATTACATTCTTTAAACGAGTGTTAAAAATAGTTTAAAACAAAAATTTTTTTATCACAAGTATAAGAAAAATCACTATTACTATCATGACAAATAGGATACAGTAACACAAAATAGAAATAACATAATATTTAAAATAATAAGCCTTATTGAATTCAATTGTTTTTCTGTTGACTGGTGATCAATAAAGTAAACTTCAAGATCTAAAACTTCACTAATTAAAACCATGTTTTTAGAATAAGCAAGTTAAACATTTTTAAAGTTCTGATTCACTCCCAACCAGGCTGCAAGCAACCACTATTAAATTGGGAGTTCCTAAAAAAAAATAGAGATATAGAGCAAGGAAATGGTTGACAGAAGATTTAAAAAGTTAAAAATTGTATGAGTCAGGAAAATACGAAGATGGGAGAGAGTTCCAAAGGGTTGAAGTGCAGAAAAAAAACTACACAAATAAAAGTTTTCAGAGCATGCAGGGACAGATACAGTAAAAGAATGAAACTTTGATGAATGACAAATCAAGTGAGTTTTAGCAGAGATGATAGCTCCTTTAAGTAAATGATAATCCAAGAAGACGTAATGAAGAAGACTAAGTGAGAGGGTTGCCATTCATTAATATAGGAGTTTTGACAGTACTGTGATAGTTGTTTGCAGTAAATAACTGAGTTTTGTTAAAGTTAAAATTTACAAGCCACAGTATTGAGCCTCAATCTGTTACAGAAATGAGATCAGATTTAAGATTGGCTGCCTGTTCTAAGCGTTCGAAAAGAGAAGACTTTTTGTCAAAACAGGAGTATTAAGTTGATTCATCAGCAAAAATAGCTACTTTAGATGTAAGGTTATCGGGAAGATCACTAATGTAGATAAGAAACAAAATAAGACTAATAATAGAACCTTGAGGTACCCCAAAAGTTACTGGAAACAAAGAAGAGTGTTGGTCTTTAAAAATAACTTTAATAAAGTGGTTAGAAAGAAATGGTTTGATAATCTCTAAAACTTACACCATATGAAATAAACTTATGGAGAAGACCAATATGCCAAACTTTGTAAAAGACTTTAGATATGTCAAGAGGAATAACCCTAACTTCTCCCCCTCCATCTAATTCACAATACAATATTTCTAGTCACAGCAGTTAGCAAGTCTACGGTAGAGCAAGAGGATCGAAAGCCATATTGGTTTTCTGACTGTAAGTTATTTGATTCAAGATGGAATGTGAGAATTTTTTTTAACAAAGACCTTGCTAATAACAGAAAGAGTACTGATTGGACAATAATTGGAAGGATGTGAACAACAGATGCCATTTGCCACTAGGCAGTTAGGAAAACAAGACTCAGTCAAGCACTTATCAAATAGTTTAGAGAGAATTGAAGAGAGTTCTGGAGAACAATTTTGTAAGACTATGAAAGGAATGTTGTCTGGATCACAAATTGTAGAAGAGTTTAATCGAGGTATGACTTAAACAATTGAAGAGAAAATGATTTGAATGTTTAACAATTGATTAACCTGTTTAATTGGAATGGAAGGAAGAGAATGGTCATAACATTTGAACTAGAATTGAATTAGAAGAAAAATTCTTTGCAAATCGCAAAATTCTGTCTTATCATTGGGAGAAGCAATAAGATCAGTCTCATGAATGAGAGATGGAATGTTAGACCTTCCTTTGTTAACAACGCTGTTAAAGAAGGCCTATTTTATAGTGTAGGAGGTGCATTTTTCAGGAAAAATTTAAATAATGACATAAAACATCAATATAATAACACTTAAATAATGACAAAGAATATCAATGTAGAATTAAAGAAATGAAAAAAGAGTTATATAAAAACTAGGTGTTTAAGTTTGTATAAAATGTGTAATTCTCTTAACTAAGATATATATGGTTCAATGCATATAAACTTTTTGGTATGTGATATAAAAGATACAGTTATATAACCCTTCCAGTTTGTGATATAAAAGATACAGTCATATAACCATTCTAGTTTGTGATATAAAAGATACAGTCATATAACCATTCTAGTTTGTTATATAAAAGATACAGTCATAGAACTCATCAAGTTTGTGATATAAAAGACACAGTAATAAAACCTTTAATGTTTTTGATATAAAAGATACAGTCATAAAACAGTACATTCATAATTTAGATTGACAATGGTAAACCTAAAGTAATAAAAAAGAAACAAAATAAAAACAAGACAATAAAAGTGGGTGTGATTAAATTTTAAAATAGAATAAAAACATAATGTGTAAAATACATTTTTTTTCTAATTTAATAAAAAAAATATAAAAATATAAAATATAAATTTATAAGATATAGAACCTTTTTTTTAAATTTGAAATTGTTAAAACTTGACTCATTGAAACCCTTAACTTGACAATAGAAAATGATTTTTCAGGATAATTTTTGGGAAAAAGATTTTCAACAATTTTCTCTTGATAAGCTCAATTTATAATGCAAGATAAATCTAAACCATTCCATAACATCAAACAAAATATCTATAAATTTACTTACTGATAGTGATAATATTTCTAATACAGACTTGGATAAAAAGTTTTTTTATTTATGTAAGATATTGAAGAATATTTAAATCTAAATAAAACACAACACAGAAAAAATGCTCCATTTTCAAAGGGTAATTAACTGAGCCAAAACTTTTACTGAAAGTTGTTCTTATCACTTAATTTTAAAAGTTTGTCTTTTTTTTTTTAGAAGTGATAAGTTTCATAGAAGGAAAATCATTTATAGTTACTATTTATTATAACTATAAGGAACAAATTTTTAATGTTGCTTTGTCTTTGTCTGTTTTTATTCACTTCTGTGAAGTTTCTATGATAGTTGAATGGTGAAGATGTCAATGCCCCTAACAAACCTATACTTGCCCCTGATAATTATTTATTACATAGTTGTTATTAATTATTTATGTGTTTGTTATTAATTGTTCAATAATTAATTTCAAAGATTTTTTTTTATTTTTCTATTGTTTTACTTAATATTTAGTTTTCTTTTGATTATTTGTGTGTTACAAATTAAAAATATTCAAGTAAAATTTCATTTGGAAATTTTAAATAATATTCATTTTAATATTCAAAATGTTATATAAAAATTTATAATTTACTTAATTCTTATATTTACATTAATTTTTAAAATTTTAGTTATAATAAATTTAAAATTTATCAATAAAACAATTGATGATCGTTGAATTATATAAGTATTAAAAATTTTTTAAAATTTTAGTTATAATAAATTTAAAATTTATCATTAAAACAATTGATGATCGTTGAATTATATAAGTGTTATTATGTTTTTGTGTAAAATAAATTTTAAATCTTTTTAGTTGATTATGGGTTTACAAAATGGGCTCATTGGAGTTTTTGCTCAGAGACTTGTGGAAACACTAGTGTACAAGTTAGAAAGAGGAATTGTCTAGGAACTTGTACTGGAAACTCTAAAGAAACCCGTGTCTGCGATGTTCCATTATGTCCAGGTAATATTTTTTCACAAATTCTAATTCATATGATCTGTTGTTTTGCATGTTTAAGTTATTTTTTAAAAAATATTATCAACATTAAATTTATGAACTAAATATTATACAAATAATAATTTTTCTCTAATATATATATATATATATATATATATATATATATATATATATATATATATATATATATATTTGTATAGATTTCGATATATAGTATATATTCGAGGTTAAGTATTTTGATGTAATAATACGAAGACTCTTGTACATGTTACAGTGCTCAATATTACTGAATAATAGAGCTATATATAATTATATTTAGATGAATAAAAACAACTGATTAGCGGGACTTAAAGTTTCATGCCCGAAGGCAATCATCAGCCGTTAATACAAACAAAAACCGTAAACAAACTGTTACAAAAACGTAAAAATTACTGTAGAATGACATCTGACATTATAAACAAATCTACGTAAAAAACAAATTAAAAAACAAAAAACAAAAAGCCGTTATAGTTTATTAGTCCCCTGTGTCAAATAAAGATAAGAGGAATTTTTTTGAATGTCGACACTGAGATACGATTTTTTTTTTTTTATTCAGTAGGTTTTTTCCATTATGTGATAAAAGGTAGGACGAATTTCTAAGGTAATTTTGGCAAAAGTTAATTGTGAACTTAAAAATAAACTTTTTTTGAATCAATGGCAAAGTACGCAAAATGTTTTAGACTAGTTTAAAAAAATCACCAATAAGCACTTACACAAATTCTTAGTTTTTGATGTTAACGATTTCTACCCTTCCATAAAGGAAAGCACCCTCAACAATGCTATGAATTTTGCTGACCATCATATCGTTATCAAAAGCAAAGACAAACCATTAATAAAGCATGCAAGAAAATCTCTTATCTTCAACAACGATGAAGCATGGATTAAAAAAAGAGGTGGGTTGTTCGATGTAACAATGGGGGCATTTGATGGTGCTGAAGTTTGCGAATTAATAGGTATTTTCATACTGTATCAAATTTCACAATATTATAATAAAGAAGATTTCGGCCTATATCGTGATGACGGTCTTGCTGTATTCAAGAACAAAAACGATCAGCATATGGAAAAAATCAAAAAGCATTTTCACTCATTTTTAAAAAAAACGATCTTCAAATCACCATTCAATCTATTTTAAAAATTGTTAACTACCTCAATGTTACGTTAAATCTAAGTAACGATACGTTTCAACCATATTCTAAACCTGATAATCAAATAAGGTACATCCACTCTAATTCTAACCACCCTCCAAGCATAATAAAAGCAATCCCTCGCAATATTGAACAAAAATTATCTTCCATGTCAAGTAATGAAATATTGTTCAAAAAGGCTATTCCACCGTATGAAGAGGCTTTAAAAAAATCGGGATACAAATTGAACCTTACCTACCAACCACAAATAATCTCAAGTCAAAATCAACAAAAAAAGCATTGTAAACGTAATGTTATTTGGTATAACCCTCCGTTCAGTTTAAACGTCAAAACAAAAATAGGAAACCGTTTTCTAGCCCTTATTGACTTACATTTTCTAGCCGGCCACAAGCTACATAAAATATTCAATCGAAATTCCATTAAGATTAGCTACAGTTGCATGCCTAACCTAAAATCTATCATAAATTCGCATAATTTCAAAATTTTACACAACAAAAATCAATTAAAAACCAACCAATGTAACTGCGTAGATAAGGCATTTTGCCCTTTGAACAATCAATGTTTATCTAACAATATTGTCTATCAAGCAACCGTAAGTTCCAGTCATCATGATTGTAATAAAAAAGTATATTTTGGCATTAGTAATACACCATTTAAACTAAGATACGCAAACCATCTCAAATCATTTGCATAAGTTAAATATAGAAATGACACAGAACTATCTAAGGAGGTATGGAACTTAAAAGACCAAAACATGAAGCCAATTATAGAATGGAAAATTGTCAAACGTTGTAAACCTTACAATCTAGCAACAAAAATATGCCACCTTTGTCTCTACGAAAAATATGTAATTTTATCACATAATGGAAAAAACCTACTGAATAAAAAAAACGAAATCGTATCTCAGTGTCGACATTCAAAAAAATTCCTCTTATCTTTATTTGACACAGGGGACTAATAAACTATAACGGCTTTTTGTTTTTTGTTTTTTAATTTGTTTTTTACGTAGATTTGTTTATAACGTCAGATGTCATTCTACAGTAATTTTTACGTTTTTGTAACGGTTTGTTTACGTTTTTTGTTTGTATTAACGGCTGATGATTGCCTTTGGGTATGAAACTTTAATTTATTCATCTAAATATAATTATATATATATATATATATATATATATATATATATATATATATATATATATATATATATATATATATATATATATATATATATATATATATATATATATATATATATATATATACTCTTGCATGTCTCTTGCATAGCATCAAAAAAAGTTTCCCATAAACTGTAGTTTTAAAGAGCGCGTTAATAAACCAGACCCAAAAAAGTTTTACAAATTAAATTTTTTTTTTTAATTGATAGACTGCCTGGCCAAACCAAACCCTCAGTCGATGTAGCAGCACTCTCTTGCGAGTCAGGCTTTTTGTCAGTCATTGAAGCAGCACTCCCTTGCGAGTCAGGCTATTTGTCAGTCGATGTAGCAGCATTCCCTTGCGAGTCAGGCTATTTGTCAGTCGATGTAGCAGCGCTCCGTTGCGAGTCAGGCTATTTGTCAGTCGATGTAGCAGCACTTCGTTGCGAGTCAGGCTATAAGATAGTCGATGAAGCAACATTTACGCATGTTTTCAAAATGTTTTTTATTAAATCAATAACAAAAACACGACTAATTAAAAAAAAATTTCTAGTCGTTATAATTGCGGTTTTTTAAAAAATTTTTAAAAAACAATTAAATTTAATGTACTTCCGCATAAATTAATTGCTTTGACATTTCGATGACAATCAAAAACAGCTTAAGAGACGAGGTAATTAAAATTGTAGTCGTAAGAGACTTTTTTTACATTAAAACGCTCTTTCGACTACACTATATGGGTATATATATATATATATATATATATATATATATATATATATATATATATATATATATATATATATATATATACTCTTGCATGGTAGTGAAAAAGAGTTTCCCATAAACTGTAGTTTTAAAGAGCGCGTTAATAAACCAGACCAGAAAAAGTTTAAAAAATTAAACTTTTTTTTTTTTTAAATGATAGACTGCCTGCCCAAACCAAACCCTCGGTCGATGTAGCAGCACTCCCTTGAGAGTCAGGCTATTTGTCAGTCGATGTAGCAGCACTCCCTTGCGAGTCAGGCTATTTGTCAGTCGATGTAGCAGCACTCCGTTGCGAATCAGGCTATTTGTCAGTCGATGTAGCAGCACTTCGTTGCGAGTCAGGCTATAAGATAGTCGATGTATCAACATTTACGCATGTTTTAAAAATGTTTTTTAATAAAACAAAAATAAAAACACAACTAATAAAAAAAAACTTTCTAGTTGTTATAATTGCGGTTTTTTAAAAAAACAATAAAATTTAATGTACTTCCGCATAAATTTAATTGCTTTGACATTTCGACGACAATCAAAAACAGCTTAAGAGACAAGGTAATTAAAATTGTAGTCGAAAGAGACTTTTTTTACATTAAAACGCTCTTTCGACTACACTATATGGATATATATATATATATATATATATATATATATATATATATATATATATATACATATATATATATATATATATATATATATATATATATATATATATATATATATATATATATATATATATATATATATTAGGGTGGATCGATTTTCATAGCAAAAAAAAAAAGTTTAAAAATCAATATTCCTGAAACACAAATCGATGTCTATTAATTATAAGATAAAAGTAAAAAAATATTTTTTGATTTTGATGAGATCTTGAGGTTCCTCTTTGGGTTCTAAATCCTTGATGGATCCTCATATTTTTGAATTTTTTTTTTTCTTAACTATATCAACCTTGGACTCAAAAAAAGCAGAAAAAAATGCTTGTTTTATCAATAATAATTTTATTAAAAAAAAAATTTTAGTGAAAAAAATATTTGCAAAAATATACCTTAAAACCCCCGTTTTGATGGAGACAGGGGTTTTTTAATGAAAAAAACTATATTTTTTCTCTTTAGTTTTAAATCTAAAAAAATATTACATACAAAATAAGCGTATTATTCTGCTTCTTTTGAGTACCAGGTTGATATAGTTTAGAAGAAAAAAAATTTCAACAATATTAGGATCCGTCATAAATTTAGAATCCAAAGAGGAACCTCTAAAACTCATTTAAACGTAAGGTTCTTATTTCACCAAAAGACATCGATTCGCAGCTCAGGCAAATCAAATTTCAAAAATTTTTAAAATCAATCCACCCTAATATATATATATATATATATATATATATATATATATATATATATATATATATATATATATATATATATATATATATATATATAAAGTAGAGCATTATGATAAAGAAATTATATAAATCAGTATTCGTAGTAGAATATTGATTTGTTTTTGTTTTTTTTAATTATTCACAAAAAAAGAAGTAGTCTTGGGTTTCATGTTAAAGTTTCATATTAGCATATAAAACAATATCATGCATAAGAAAAAAAGTCGTAAATTTAAAGACTGCTCATTATCAAAATGAGTGCAAAAATTAAACATGTTATTTAACAAATTCTTTTTAGGTATTTATTAAATAACAGTACTCATGTTTTTTCAGCTTTTATTGTACCTTGTTGAAACTGCCAATGTTTGCCCAATTAATTAACACAAATGCTAATGGAACCATGCAGATCTCTAGCATCTTTATATAAATTTGTTTATTAATTTGGCTTGTATAAATATTATAGACACCTGACTCATTAAAGCTAAATCAGCCCCTTAACACCAACACTTTCATTTCACCATGTAACCTTAATACAATAAAGGGGTTACTATAATTTTTAGATTTAAACGGTTTAACAAGTACTTTTTTTTTCTATTCATTACTTCAAAGTTACTTGTACCGCTTGGATCAAATATGCCTTTGGTTAAACTATTTTAAGAAGTAACAAATAAACCAAGTAAACTTGTTAGTAAGTACAATACAAGTAAACTTGTTATTAAGTAACATTCACTTGTTATTAAGTAACATTAACTTGTTATTAAGTAACATTCACTTGTTATTAAGTAACATTCACTTGTTATTAAGTAACATTAACTTGTTATTAAGTAACATTAACTTGTTATTAAGTAACATTCACTTGTTATTAAGTAACATTCACTTGTTATTAAGTAACATTAACTTGTTATTAAGTAACATTCACTTGTTATTAAGTAACATTCACTTGTTATTAAGTAACATTAACTTGTTATTAAGTAACATTCACTTGTTATTAAGTAACATTCACTTGTTATTAAGTAACATTCACTTGTTATTAAGTAACATTAACTTGTTATTAAGTAACATTCACTTGTTATTAAGTAACATTAACTTGTTATTAAGTAACATTCACTTGTTATTAAGTAACATTCACTTGTTATTAAGTAACATTCACTTGTTATTAAGTAACATTCACTTGTTATTAAGTAACATTCACTTGTTATTAAGTAACATTCACTTGTTATTAAGTAACATTAACTTGTTATTAAGTAACATTCACTTGTTATTAAGTAACATTCACTTGTTATTAAGTAACATTAACTTGTTATTAAGTAACATTCACTTGTTATTAAGTAACATTAACTTGTTATTAAGTAACATTCACTTGTTATTAAGTAACATTCACTTGTTATTAAGTAACATTAACTTGTTATTAAGTAACATTCACTTGTTATTAAGTAACATTCACTTGTTATTAAGTAACATTAACTTGTTATTAAGTAACATTAACTTGTTATTAAGTAACATTCACTTGTTATTAAGTAACATTAACTTGTTATTAAGTAACATTAACTTGTTATTAAGTAACATTCACTTGTTATTAAGTAACATTCACTTGTTATTAAGTAACATTCACTTGTTATTAAGTAACATTCACTTGTTATTAAGTAACATTCACTTGTTATTAAGTAACATTCACTTGTTATTAAGTAACATTAACTTGTTATTAAGTAACATTCACTTGTTATTAAGTAACATTCACTTGTTATTAAGTAACATTCACTTGTTATTAAGTAACATTCACTTGTTATTAAGTAACATTAACTTGTTATTAAGTAACATTCACTTGTTATTAAGTAACATTCACTTGTTATTAAGTAACATTCACTTGTTATTAAGTAACATTCACTTGTTATTAAGTAACATTAACTTGTTATTAAGTAACATTCACTTGTTATTAAGTAACATTAACTTGTTATTAAGTAACATTAACTTGTTATTAAGTAACATTCACTTGTTATTAAGTAACATTAACTTGTTATTAAGTAACATTCACTTGTTATTAAGTAACATTAACTTGTTATTAAGTAACATTAACTTGTTATTAAGTAACATTCACTTGTTATTAAGTAACATTAACTTGTTATTAAGTAACATTCACTTGTTATTAAGTAACATTAACTTGTTATTAAGTAACATTAACTTGTTATTAAGTAACATTCACTTGTTATTAAGTAACATTAACTTGTTATTAAGTAACATTCACTTGTTATTAAGTAACATTCACTTGTTATTAAGTAACATTAACTTGTTATTAAGTAACATTAACTTGTTAATGACATATTAATTGTAAAGATTTAAACTAAAAGGTTTTTAACAATAGTGGTTTTAAATTTTTATGATTTTTTGAAGAAAATATTTAGTTTTAATTAGTGTATTAAATTAGTGTATTAAATTTATTAATTAAATTTATTAATTAGTGTATTAAATTTTATTGTGTTTTGATTTTTAGTTATTTATAAAAAATATATATTTATTAACTATTTGTAATATATGTTTATTGATTATTTGTAAATTTAAGAACATAAAGATTATTTATACAATGTTGAATAAATACATTTTTTTTACATTAAAATTTTTTAAGAAGAAAATAAATTAATTAACCAAGTAAAGATTTTTTTAAATTGGTTTGTTCTTTTGCAATTAGTTGATGGAGAATGGGGAAGTTGGGGAAACTATTCTGAATGCAATACTACTTGTGGGTATGGCTATCAAATTCGAACTAGAGATTGTAACAATCCATCCACAGTTGGAAGTGGTACACCATGTCAAGGAATCGAGAAAGATGAAAAACCAGAATGCAATGCTTTTCCTTGCCCAGGTATGATTAGCTTTATTAATTTTTTATTTTTAAATAATGGGTAAAATTTGACAAGTATTCTTATATTCAAAATTTAATTGAAATCAAAAATTACATATATATTTTAATGAAATTGGTATTGATGAAACTGATTGATATTGATGAGACTGATGTGAGTTGTTTCATATCAGTTTATTTTGATTTCATTCAATATATAAATAAATCAAGATTCATTAGAACAAGTTTAAAAATTACATGTTCTAAAAGACATACAGGTCCAATAAATGGATACTGACAGTATGCCCCTAAATAAGATAACAAATTGCATATGAAAAAATATAGTTTATAATTGAAGCATTCAAGGTTTCATTCATTCATTTACTTTATAGACACTATTTATCAAAATTGCACGATTTTATTTTGCTTTTAAAAATACAAATGTTATCAGCATTTACAGCTTCTGATGTCAAATTGTTCCAGATATTTACAACTCGTTGAGAAAAACAATTTTTGCAAATGTTGAGTTGACATCGCTGTTTGCGAATCTTATAAGTATGACCCCGGGTATATTTATTATTGGTAATTTCAAAAAACAAACTTTTATCTATGCAAACCAAATTATGTATATTTTTGAAACATATAAATAAATCATATTTTAAACGTCTGAGCACCAAAGAATCCATACCAAGCAGCTGTAAATGGCTAGAATAACTCATACAACTAAGATAAGAGATTTTTTTTTTGTGAATTGTTTTTGATTATTTTCAATAGATTTTGTTACATAGTTTGGTGTGGCGACCAAACTGGAGAGCAATATTCAATAATTGGTCTTATATAAGTGGTAAATACACGTACTAATATACTTGGATTGCGAGTTTTTAAGCATTTTAAGATTAGATATACTCTAATTTTTGCTACATGATCGACTCTAGCATTTAATATATATATATATATATATATATATATATATATATATATATATATATATATATATATATATATATATATATATATATATATATATATATATATATATATATATATATATATGTATATATATATATATATATATATATATATATATATATATATATATATATATAAATTAAATGACTTTTTATTGTTATTTTTGTCTGTTAGATGGTGGTGCTTATTAAAGATATTAATTTTATTATTAACATACTTATAAAATTTGCTCATGTTTTTTCCATCAACTAGGTCTAATTCAATTTTTGATTGGTAATTAGATAAGATTTGTTTGCAATTCGTGGCGTACTGTTTGTAAGCTGATTTGTTGTAAATGGTTTTATTATTTGTCAATCTTTTCCAGAAGACTTTTTTAAATGTATTTTGGATAGTGATTATTTGTTTTGTTATAATACTTTTTCCTGATAGGCACAAATTCATTAATACCAGTACCAAAAAGCCATAGAAAAACACTCCAGTAATCCTCGTTTGTACAGGCACAAGAAAACTCAAAATCCTAAATTTTAAGGCACTCAAACTCAAAATCCTAATTTTTAAGGCAATTTGTACAGGCAGAAGAAAACTCAAAATCCTAATTTTCAAAATCCTATTTTTGATAAATATAACTCAAGGCTCTTAAAATCAGCATTAGGAAAGTTGTAGAAAGATTCTGGTTTATTTTCACATTGGTTGAGATTGTTTGTATTTATATAAAATTGGACTATGTTATGGTCGCTAGTGCTAAAAAGACACTCAACAGATATATCACTTATAAGAGATCTATTATTAGAAAAAATAAGATCAAGAAAATTCATATTGTACATGGGTTCTTTAATGAATTGGTACAAATCAAGTTCGTTTACCAAATTTAAGAATATACTATGACACTTTTTGTTTGGTGAAACATAGCTTGGCCAATCCATTTTAGGTAAATTGAAGTCACTAACAATAGAAATCTGCGACATCGAGTAACATAAATTATACATAATTAAAATCATAAATTCAAGATAAGCAACATCTGTTATTGTATAAAAAGGTGGACGATAGCAAGTTATTAGACGGAGTTTCTGAGATCCAAAAATCATATCAACACAGGTGATATCAATATCCGTATCTGTTCGCTTAATCTGTACTTGTTCTATTTTAATGTCATTTCTACAGTAAGTTGCGACTCCTCCGCCAATTTTAATATGGTCTTTGCAATAAATTAAGTATTTTTTTGGGCATAAAGTCAGGGTTGATAAAAATATCACTAAATCTGCTTGAATTTTTTAAGATTTTCACAGTTTTTAAAGCAGAATTTTGTTTTTATTATAAAGCCGACAACAATCAGATTTAGATTTAAGCTTTATAATTTGTTTAGGTTTATTTTAGGTTTAATATTTGAGTTGATTGAATTAAGCATATCTAGGATTGGTTTTCTATCTTCCTCTTTAGCACTTGCAGTATCCATATCTTTTGATGCAATTATGCCAATAATTATTATGTTGATTTCCCTTTTCTCCCTTTCTTTCGTTTCGGCAGCAACAGTATTCATAATATGCAATTGCTCAACTGACTTTTTTAATGGTGCTCTGCCACTAACAACATTTTCTCAAGATGTTGAGGTGCGCTTGGAGATTTAACATTTTCTAAGGCTTTAATTCTTGTTAACAAAAGTGAATTGCAATTTTTTAGCTCATCGGTTGTCTTGTTTAACGTTTTAATTATTTTTTCTTGCTCGACTTTATAAGTGCTGAACTCAGTTGACTGAACATGTATCATTATTATTTACCTTAACTTTATGAAACCTTTTTTATTTGTAATAAATTTGTTGATAAAATTGTACACAAAAACACGTCTTGTCACTTTAAAAGCGAAAGTGAAAAAAAAAAAAGTAAATATAACATATATATGTATATATATATATGTTATATATACATATATAACATATATATATATATATATATATATATATATATATATTATATATATATATCAGGGTTGGCAAAAACCCGGGTTTTTTTTAAAAAAACCCGGCCCAGTGGGTTTTTTTGGGTTTTATTGGGTTTTATTGGGTAAATTTGGGTTTTTTTGGGTATAATTTTTATTTTGTCTCTGTAAAAAAAATTTTTGTGTTTTTGTTTATTGATATTGAAAATTAGTTTTTTTCTACTTTAACTTTATTTAAAATATATTTAATATATTGTTGTTTAATTATTTATAACAAGAATTTTTCAAATTATTTTGAAAAAGATTTTTAAATATAATTTAAAACTGTAATAGGAAAAAAAAATTTCACGCTAAATCTATATGTATTGATTTATTTTAAATTTAAAAGTATTATTTTATATAATTAAAAATGTCAATGAGAAAATGTGAAAAAGAAGGCTTGAAAATGGGAGGTAGTAACTGAAGTTTCAATTAAACTTTGAACTTGAAATTCAAATGAACAAACTTGTTCCTCTGCGCAGCGGCCTTGTTTATAAAGATTCGTGTTTAGGAGTTAAAGAGTTTTTTTTCTTCTTTAAATCAATTCACCTCCTCAAAGCTTATGGTCACTACAGGCGAGGAGGCTACTTATTTGTGGTTATAACCCTCTCTCAACTCTATAACTCCGAAACATGAACCTTGACGAACAAGGCCGCTGCGCGGAGAAAAGAATTGAGCGCGGTACTGCCAGGGACGTGGTGGGGATCAAACTCGGAACCTCTCACTTATGAATTGAGCGCTCTACCACAACACCACTACTGCAAAAGAGTTGAGAGAGGGTTGTAACCACAACAAGGTAGCCTCCTCGACTGTTTTGTTGGCTTCTCTGGTCACTACTACTCATTTAAATTCAACTTGGGAGGTGAACAACATTATGTAATAAAAATCTCAATCGATAAAAATATTTGAATAAAAATTGTAATAATGTATTTCCAAATAATGATTCAAATAATAGTAAACCTGCTCTGATAGCTGTTATTGTTGGTTATAATAGTTAATAATAATAGTTAATAATAATTAAGTTAATAAAAATAGTTAATAATTATTTTAGTAAATAATATTATAGTTATAATGTTAAAGTTGGTTATAATAGTTCATAAACTTATTAAATATCTTTAAAAAAACCCAATAAAACCCAGATTTTCCAGGGTTTTATTGGGTTTTTTTAGGCGGGTTTTTTTGGGTTTTATTGGGCGGGTTTTTTTGGGCGGGTTTTTTAATGCCAACCCTGATATATATACATATATTTTATATATATATATATATATGTTATATAGATATATAACATATACATATAAATGTTATATATGTATACAACATGTATATACATATATAACATATTTGTATATATATGTTATACATATATAACATATATATATGTTTTATATATATGTATATATTATATATATATAAATATATAAACATATATATATATATATATATATATATATATATATATATATATATATATATATATATATATATATATATATATATATATATATATATATATATATATATATATATATATATATATGTATATATTTAATATTTAAAAAATATATAAATATATAAAAATATATATATATATATATATATATATATATATATATATATATATATATATATATATATATATATATATATATATATATATATATATATATGTATATATATATATATAAAATACAATAAAAGTACAATGACTATTCAAAAAAAATTTTTTTGGTCTAGTTGATGGTGGTTACTCAAACTGGACTGATTGGTCAATATGCAGTAGACCATGTGGAGAAGGAGTAATTATAAGTAGACGTTACTGCAACAATCCTGTACCTGCATTGAGGGGTAAAGATTGCAATGGCAGTGATATAATGATAATGCCGTGTTACCTTCAAAACTGCACACGTATGTACATAAACTTTGTATATAAAAATAAACTCATAAGTTATTATTTATGATTTTAGCTAACTTTAGTTTTATATATAATGCACTGCTACAATTTTGAAATGTTACTTATTTTATGATTTTTTAAATTTATTTTTCAACCCTGTATAAACTAGAGATGTCACCAATAGTGAATTTTCAGAATACCAAATATTCAGCTGGGCGCTTGGTTAAAGTACCAAATATTTGGCTACTGAATATTTGGTGACACTTAATTTTGAAGGTTTTAACCTGCTTTATTGAAGTGGATTTGTATATTATTTTTTGACAGTCACATTAAATTGTTCTAACTATAGTTATATATCATACTTTTCAAACTATTCAAAAAAATTATAAAAACTAACTCAGGTGTATGTTACACTTCTGAGGTAATTTCACAAGTTGCTATTGATAGGTTTAGCACAAAGAACTCTTAACTTAATAAAAAATGATATCCTCACTACAACTTGAACTTTATTGGGTTTAACTTATGATTTAACTTTAATTTACATGTCAATTATACAGTAGCCTTTTTTATTGATGCATGTTTTTAAAAACTAATTTTAAAAGTTTAGTTGAAACACAACGAGCAAAACAAAAAAGTTTAAAAGCTCTGAAATAGATCAGTTCAGTGAAAAGTTATTTCTTTTCAGTTGACTACAATACTACCTCATTATATGTACATTGTTTATTTTTTATTTTATTAATTATGATATAGTAAACTTAAATTTATTACAAAATTTAAGTTAAATTATTAAATTAATTTTAACCAAAAGCTATTCAAGTGGATTTGACTCAGAGAACACTGGAGACTTGGGTATGGAGGATGTATGACATTAATTCAAATGAAGGTCGTGCATTTGCTCAACGGTTCAAAGAATCTGTAAGATTTTTTTAATTTCAGTGTTTTGAAATTTTTCGTTTTCTTATATAAAAACATCCAAAATATTGTATCAAGATTTGACACAATATTTTAATGACTATGAATAAAAACATCACATTACAACAGGTGATGTTAGTTTTCATGATTGCCAGGAAAAAGAAATACTTTTAAGTTTCAACTTTTAACACTTAAAGCTAAAATAGTGTGTATATATATATATATATATATATATATATATATATATATATATATATATATATATATTCACACAAAAGAAAAGCCAAAATCTAAAGAAAACCCTACCACAGAATCATATTAGATACCACTGATAAGTTTTTGTATAAACTAATTTGTAATTTTATATTTAAAAAAAAAGGCAAAGTTTTCTTAATTTCCACCCTCTAACTACCATCAATACACCAATTCACTTACTACCCCAATACTAGCTTTTTCACTCTTCACCCTGAGGTATAAAATACATGGATGACTTTGCAACAAAAAAGCCCATATAACGAATGTGTTAAAATGAGATAATTGGACACTAAGTTTAAAAGTTTTCAAAAAAAGCAAGTGTTAAGTGTAGAACAAACTAAAAATAATTGCTGTTCAGTGCATTTAAAATTTTTTAGTATATTGGTGTTTGCAAAAAATATCAACTTTTTTTTACCATTGTTTTATAGACTGGTTTGGTACTTAACCATCCATATTACATCTAAAAATGTTGTAACTATGAATTATATGTAATATAATTCATAGTTACAATATCATAGCACCTCAAACATTTGAGGTGTGTGAAGAAATCAATTAAGGAGTGAAATTTTTTTTAAGATTTACATATATATTATATAGACATACACACACATGCTTAAATGTAAATTGTTCTTAACAATTATAGTAAATTATTAACCTAAAACTTGGAAATAACTGTATAAAAATTTTTTAGATTAACAAGTACTTCTATAACAATAGTATAAATGGTTTAAGTAACGTTGAGGTAACCCGTCTAAAGTAAGTTTTTTTATGTTTGCTAAATTATAGTATAATTTATAATGAGCAGGTTTTGCAAAGTATGCACAATTTTTCTAGTTTGCCACATAGTATAGTATACGATATTTATAAAGTATGTGAAAAAATAATTTTGCTGATTTTATTGACATTTTTTTTTTTTAATTTTTTTTTTTAACTTTTATCAATTTTTTATACTTTTTATGCAGAGCTGGAAGTGTTGTTGTATATTATACACTAACATTTGATTATTTGTACGATCAAATGATTCAGTTCATTGATGGAATCAATCAAGTGGGAAAAATAACCAACATTAGTATAGAGAGTAGGCAGTACTACTCTTCAGATGATGGTAAGTTACTATTACACCCATATATGTTAAGTATATATGGATTTTACAGTACAGAAGTACTGTAAAAACATGTAAAATTGTTCAAGTCATTTTGTGACATTTTACACCTATATCATCTTTACTTTCATCAACATTTAGACAATTATGTTTCTGGGAAAACAACTTAAATGTTCATTAAACAACTTAAAAAAAGAAGAAATTACCAATAGAATAACAACCAAAAATTAAAGTCTTCATATAATATTTTTTGCAGAAATGTAATATTACAACACATCTAATACAGTTGTAAAAGTATATGAATGTTTTACTTCTTATAAAGGTTTAACTATATTTGAAAGGCCTAATTTTACTAGTTTTGTTAGTGTTTCCATTAAAATTGATTTTATGTATGCTAAATAAAAATATTTATAACATAACTCTATTTAAAATAAATTATTCAAAAATAAATTATCATAAAACTCATCATAATTAAATTATCAAACATTATTATGTTTAATAGTCATTGAGTTTTTATGTATTTAGTTTGCTTAAAAAATATAGTCAAAATAGTGAAAGCTAGTTGTTCAAATTTTTTTTAGGTTTTTCATAAGTTTGGGGCAATTTCATATGAAACACCCAGGGCATGCAACCCTAAATTTCAAATTTTGCTGATTTTTACACCACTCAAAGATTTTAATAAGTTATGAACATTCACAATATTTTATCATCAAATTCCAAACGGTTTTAAAGATATGACTATTCAAACTTTGGCATGAACCAACAAAAATCTGCCATTGTATGTATATCCTTTCCCATATATTACATATATCCCATATATATTGTCTGCCATCCTTTCCCATTTTCCTCCACTTTTTACAATTGAATAAAAATTCCTATCCATCCTTTTATTCCCACTCCACATTGTATTAAGCCCCTGAGAGTAACTTGACAGCAATTAAAACAGCTTTGACCATATCAAATTGATCCTTCAGTTGTTACTGACTTGCTTTTTCTGTTTTCTTGGTAATTTTAAAAAATTCGATCCTTTATTTCAAAAATTTGTTAAAGTTTTACCAGAGATGAGTTGAATTATAAAAATTCAGAGGTATAGGCTAAATTTTTTTTTTAAAGTCATCTTAAAAAAATTAAAATTTATTTAAAGTTATCATATTGAATTGGATTGTGGTCTTTCCTTAAACAGAGATAAAAAAAACATTGTCAAATGTGCATCATTAATAGATAAATTTAATTAGAAAATTATGAATAATAATCTGACTTTTTTATTTAATGTTTCTAAATACTTTATTAGGTTTTTATTACTTAACTAAACAATTTTTAACTTACTAAAATAGTTTTAATGAATAACAGTTGTTTTTTATTGACCAGTGACTAACAATTGGTTGAGACAATTATTGGTAAAAAAAACATCAATACTTATTAATGTTGTTTACTGTTGCTTTCTGCATTTCATTATTTTATAACTTTCTACATTATATGTGCTACACCATGTTTTAAAATAATAAATGTTCCATCATATAAAATAAACAAGATACTATTTTTGATGTGTTTTTTTATATACTTTTTGATGTGATTAGGATTTAATTTGGCATTTAATAGTTTATAAAAATGAATCTAAAAGGTAATTATAGTCAGAATATAATAATCATTAGAATATTATATAATATAAGATATAAACAATCTACCTCTGTTTTTTTACATAAAAATGTTTTAAAGAAAATAGTTCTCTCAGGAATAGGCTATAAGGGACTTCCAATTAGGCAACAGTGCAGTAGTGGCAAAATTTAGACTAATAAACTTTTTAAACTCATTCAATCAATAGACAAATCAAGTTTATGTCTAGATACAATAAATGAGGGGAGATAGGAAAGGAAGGGGAGGGGGAAAAGGGGAATAATAAACAGGAGATTAGGAATATTTATTTATACTTCTAAATGTGAGTTTTTATTTACTAATTTTTAAGACCTAAACCTGTTTCAAAAATTAGAGTCCCAAAATTATAGTCCCAAAGGAACTCCAGCTTTATATCTCTATTTTGTCCTGGTCTCAATCCAAAAGCTCTAAACATGTTTGTTGCCTCATGATCTGCAAAAAGAAAAAAAATTCATAAAATTTAATGATTTGGAACTTATTGTTTTGAAGCCCAAAGTCCCAGAGTCCTTGCTACCATTTTACCTGAGAACTCCGAGTTCAAAAACTAAAAGTTTTCTCATTAATAGTCCATAACTCTGGGTTTAATAACTTAAATTTTTTCTATTAATAGTCCATAAGGTTTTTATATCTTTAGGGCTCCTGGATACTAAAAACTATGAAGAAGTAATCTTTTTGTGACTTTCAAACCGCAGTCATTTTTGGGATTCTGTATATATGAGTAAAATTTAATAAACGGGCAGGGGAGGGGTCTTAATAAGTTCAGGGTGGGTATAATTTTCCCAAAATTATTAAACATCAGCTTCTGTGTCTTCTTAAGAGTACCACCTATTTTTTCCTTTAATTTTTCATAACTCCTGTTTTATAAGTAACAAATTTAAATAAATTTGACTATGCTATTTTTTCTGTTTAAGAAAAGACCACTCTCCAACTCTTTGTAACAAAATCTTTTTTTAGATGTTATCAAAACACAGATGTTTTGACAACATCTAAAAAAAAAAATTGAGCTACATTGACATTTTTGTAATTAAACTTGCCCAGTAAAATTCTGATAAGGGACAAAATTACAGGTATTATAATAATTTTTAAATTTTTAAGTTGTTTTATCGGATTCCTTGACTCAAAATATGTGAGTTTACATATTTTCAGCTTTCATTGCACGCAGAACAGAAACAAAGACCAAAAACGTTTTTAAAATGAATTTTTATTGGTTTAAGGCAAACTTTGAATGGTCATACCTTTGAAACCTATTGGAATTAAATGATAAAATTTTAGGAATATTCAAAACCTGTTAAAATCTTAGAGTGGTGTAAAAATCAGCAAAACCTGATACTTAGCTTTGCATTTTATGAAAAAAAAATTGGATGTTTTCACATGGAATTGTCCTTTGAAAAGTAAGTTTATGACATTTTCTTTCATTAAAAAATAAACTTGTTTTAATACTTTTGAATCCTTTCAACAAAGTTGTTTTAATCTGTGCATTTTAACTTACTAAGTTGTTTTGTCAAAGTCCTGTGTGCATTTGAATATGAAAAATTGCTAGGAATCTGGTTAATCAATTTAACTGTTAATATAGTATATATTTAGGCCAGTATGAATATTTCTATTTAGTTAGCATATTTTTTTTTTTTTTTTTTTTTTTTTTTTTTTTTTTTTTTTTTTTTTTTTTTACATTATTCACCTCCCCAAGACCCGAGGGGGCCACTGCAGTCGAGGAGGCTACTCATTTTTTTGTGTTTTTTTTTTTTTAATTTTTTGTTGTATTTCGTGGTACAACCCTCTCTCAACTCTTTAACTCCGAAACACGAACCTTGACAAGCAAGGCCGCTGCGCGGAGAAACTAAGTTTATTCTCTAAAAAGAGATAAAGAGCTAGTTTATAAAAGGAAAATATTCTTTCGACATTTGTTGTTTAAATACAATCTAAAAAGCAGCATAGATTTTTTTTATACTTCTCTATCAAACTTTTATCAAACCTGTTCAACATATTTTGTTTAAACCCTTTATGGTTTAAACAACTACACCTGGGATTTTTTAGAATTACTTTCAATAAAACTGATGCATTAATATTATTCTAGCATTTCCAACCTAATACACCTGGGATTTTTTAGAATTACTTTCAATAAAACTGATGCATTAATATTATACTAGCATTCCAAACCTGTAAAATATGGATTTTGATAAGTCTATTATACACTGATTATTTCAATAATCTTTCAATATTTTTTAGTAAGCAGTAGAAAAACAATACATATTCTCTACCTTTTAAAGTTATGAATAAAAAAATAATTCATAACATAACTTTAAAAAGTTTTGAATGCTTCGGTAGTTGTTGCGCAAACCTCTATTTAGTGGTAGAAAATAAATCTTTCAAATCTTTGTTTTGAATTAGCAGTTAATTCTTTATTTTGGAGCAACTAATACTTTATAACTTCTCATTGTAAAATTGTAAACTTCTATAAAAAAATGGGAACATAATTTTTTTTCTTTATTAACCCTTTACAGTCCATGCCGTAATATTATGCAATCTAAAAGTGGTTTCTAAATATCCTTGCCTTAATATTACGCAAACTAAAAGTGGTTTCTAAATGTCCATGCCGTAATATTATGGTTTTAAGCATTTCATCATATTTCCTTCATGCTCATATACGTCTAATTGTCACAAAATATATTACTACATAAATACAGAGCTTTTGTTTCAATAATTTCTTTTACATGTGTTTACTTTAATTTTAAATATGGCAGATAAGGAAGTTCTAACAGTGCAAAAATCATTATCAAAAAAGCAAATATTTACTCACAAAGAAATCAAAAGTTATATATTTGATGAATGATTAATGGAAAGATCTATTTGATGAATAATTAATGAAATTCATAATGAAAGACTAATACTCAGAGAAGATGTGTGGTATGTTACAAACACAAAAACTTTTCTTCTAATTCAACTCTCGAATCTTATGGCCATTTCCTTCCATTTCAATTAAACAACTTAATCCATTGTTAAACATTCAAATCAGAGACTGAGTCTTGTTTTCCTGCCTACTGGAAAATGGCATCTGTTGTTCCAATTTTTAAAAACTCCGGTGAAAATTTTGAGCCCTCTAATTATTGCCCAATCAGTCTTCTTTCTGTTGTTAGCAAGATCTTTGAGTCTTTGATAAACAAATTTCTTACATTCCTTTTTGAGTCAAATAATTTGCTCTCAGACAATCAATACGATTTTCGATCCTCTCGCTTTGCGGCTGATTTGCTAATTGCTGTGACTGAAAAATTTTATCATACATTAGACCGAGACAGAGAAGCTAGGGGTATTGCTCTTGAAATATTTAAGGCTTTTGAAAAATTTTGGCACACTGGACTTATCAATTATCAATTCATTTCTTTCTAACCGCTTTTTTAAAGTCATTCTCAAAAACCAACATTCATCTTTTTTCTTAGTTACTTCTGGGGTGCATCAAGGTTCTACCCATAGTCCTATTCAGTTTTTCTTATCTACATTAGTGATCTTTGTGACAACCTTACATCTAAAGAAGCTCTTTTTGCTGATGACTCAACTTTATACTCCTGTCTTGACAAAAAGTCTTTCTTGAATCTGATCTCACTTCTGTAACAGATTGGGACTTGCAGTGGCTTGTAAATTTAAACTCCAACAAAACTCAGTTATTTACTGCAAACAACTACCACAGTACTGTTGACATTCCAATATTAATGAATGGCAATCCTCTGACTGAGTCCTCTTCTTTACATCTTCTTGGATTATTGTTTACTTTTCTTGGATTATTGTTGACCTTTTATGGAAACCAATCGATTGCTAAATTAACTAAGATTGCTTCTCTTTATCATGCTCCCCATTTTCTCTTTCCTGATTCTATTCTCTACCTCTACAAATGTCTTATTTGTCCCTGTATGGAATACTGTTGTCATATTTGGACTGGTCCTTCTAATGATGCTCTTTCTCTTCTAGAAAAGGTCTAAAAACACATTGTAAGCGTAGTTGGACTTGGTCTATCTGCTAAGCTGCAGTCTCTTTCCCATCGTTGTAAAATTTTATTTCTTCCTCTTTTCCAGAAATACTACCATGGTCACTGCTCAAAGGAGCTACTATCTTTTTCCATCAACTCCATCAACTCTATCAACAGTTCCATCAACTAAACTTCATTCATGCTTGACTTGTCATTCATCAAAGTCTTATTCTTTTACTGTATCTGTCCCTGCATGCTCCAAAAACTTTTATTTTTCTAGTTTTTTTCCCCGCGCTTCGACCCTTTGGAACTCTCTCCCATCTTCATGTTTTCGTGACTCATTCAGCCTTTAATTTTTTATGTCTTTTGTCAACTGTTTTCATGCTCTATAAGTCTATCCTTTTTTTCGAGTAACTCCCAACTTAATGAGGTTGCTTGCTGTCTTGTTGGGAGTAAATCAGAATGAAAAAAATAAAATAAAATAAAATCTCTATTGTGATGTAAGTGCAAAAACTTTCTCTGCTGTTTTGATGGGTTTTTTTTAAGTTTTTTAAAAACTCACTCCCTTTTGTTTGTTATAGCATATTATATCTTTATATATCAACAATAGAAATTTAAAATATTTTAATTTGTGTTTTAGAAAATTTACAAAATTGATATGGAAGCAACAGGAATTGAACCCTCATGTTGTACTTTGCCCACTAAAATACACTAAACTGCCAATTTTTAACACTTTTAAAAAACAAACAGAATGCAATGAAGAGCTTTATAAAACAGCAAATAAATGCAAATCAAAGTTAAGGAGATTTTGCCGCATTTTTATATAAAATTTATAAAAATTAAAATATCTGTTCAACTTCAAACTTCAAAATTCATTTTTTATTTACAAAATTGAAAAAAATATTAAAAAAAAGAAGTGGAAAAGCAAGGATTTGAACCATTGCAATCTACTTCGCTATGCTGCAATCTAACCACTTTAGCCACTATGGTGTATTGTTCGATGAAAGTTTTAAAAGTATTTAATAAACAAAAGACTTTATAAAACAGTAAATAAATGTTATAAATCAAAATTAAGGAGATATAAATCAAAATTAAGGAGATATAAATCAAAATGAAGGAGATATTGCTGCAAATCAATTTAAAAGTAAAAGTAAAACTGTAAAACTTGATGTTTTAACAGATTTTGAAGTTTAGATAAATTAGATGTTTGCATACACTTTTGTTCCCATTTTCTGATAAAAAAGGTGCTGCAACTCTTTCTCGCCATTAACTCTGGTCTAATGGATGGCATGAATAAGGTGTCAAACACTCATGAATGGGTAATAGCATTGAATTTCTTATGAAAATATGAAATTGCTTTTAAAATTATTTGCTTTTAAAATTGTTTATGAAAATATGAAATTGCTTTTAAAATCATCAGTTATAATCAGTTGAAAAACTCATTACAAAAAACACTTTAATTTTCTAAAAGATAATTTTTTTCATTTTCAATTTAGTGATTTTATATGTTCACTCTCAAGAGTCACATTAAAACCTTTATTTTTTTGTGTGATTGGAAATGATTCAAATGAGTTTAATTTAAAAAACTAAACCAGTTGTAACAGTTGATTTATATAAAAGATAGGTGTGTAAAAAATTTCTTTATTAAACACAATTATTCCTTCATAAGTTTCATAAACAGAACACTTTTCACAAAAGTTTTAATTTGAAGTTTAAGTTTGAACTGTATCCTAATAAAAAATTTGTTTTATAAATAATGATTATTGCTATTATTGTTAATATTGTTATTGGTTATATTATTATTATAAGCTTAAGTTTAGGCTCATTTTTTTTAAGAATAAAATTTTCATACAGAAAACTAGATTAGAAAAATAAAATAATAAAATAAGCTTCTACTTTAATAAAAAAACATTTTAAAAATTGCTTATAAATTACTTGTTTTTTATAGAGTAACCTTTACAAAAAAAAATTAAATATTGTTTAGTATCATGCCCTCCACCTTACAATATATCAGTTGCATCATATGATAAAAACACTGTGATGTTATCATGGTTGCGAGATGCTTGTATTAACAAAACTGATGTATGGTTGTATGTTTATTACAAAGACATTACTTCTGCAAACTCAACATGGGAATGGAGAGGTTTAAATTCAAATAAATCCTTAGGGTTTGTGCCTGATCTCATTACATCTCATAAATATAAGGCATACATGCTTACTGCTTTAAGTATTGGAAATGGTTTGCCAAGTACAGTTTTTTATTTTGAAACATCATCTTTCCGTAAGTATTTTTAAAAATTTAATTTTTTTACCTGAAATTTTTAAAGTTATGCAAGATGTATAAAAATACAGTATAATGTAAAACTACAATCCAGTACACTGTATAAATTATGTTTGTGAAACAGCAAGAATGAGTTTGAATAACTGATTATTTGCAAAATAACTAAATAATGAATGAGTGACATCCCACAAAAACATCAATTTTTTATTAACACCCCATAATATCTAGATCAATTCTAATGATGGCCACAATACAAATCCAAAAAAAGATTCATTAAGTCTACAGATTAAGGAGTGTTCCATGATTGTTGTTGTTTTTTTATTGTATGTTTGAATGTAAAAGATTATTTTTTAAAACTTTTTTTTAGGAAAAAAAAAGTTTAAATAAAAGAATTTGAATTTTCATTTGAATTTTTAGACAAAAAAAACTAAAAGATTGTTACACTTAATTGTTTAAAAGTTTATCATGCACTACTAATTAAAACCTTAGAAATAAAAAAGTTAAAAAAATAAAACCTTAGAAATAAAAATAAAATAAAAAAACCTTAGAAATAAAAATAGTAAAACCTTAGAAATAAAAATAGTAAAACCTTAGAAATAAAAATAATAAAACCTTGGAAATAAAAATAATAAAACCTTAGAAATAAAGATAATAAAACCTTAGAAATAAAAATAATAAAACCTTAGAAATAAAAATAATAAAACCTTAGAAAGAAAAATAATAAAACCTTTGAAATAAAAATAAGAAAATAAGAAAAAATTAGAAAAAAAATTCTAAAATGTTGGAAATCATTTAACTTAATTTGATTTAAAAAAGTTTAACAAGTAGTAAAACAATAAAATATTGCAGGCACAGTTAATTCAATTTTATCAATAATCTCATCTCTATTTCTTAATGAAACATAAATGTATTAAATGCCAAAATTAGTTATGAACATCAAAATGAAATTTAGATTTTTGTAAAAAAAATTTTTGTTTTTAGCTTATCTACTTTTATGCTTTTATATTTGAAGATTTGTTCAAAATCTTACATTTTTCTTTTCAATCTTAGTTTTCTCTAGAATCAGTCATAGGTTTACTAAATTTTGATTTTTCCAGTTTTATAAAATTTAAGTACTAGATTTATATCCTAAATAACAAATAATAAAGTGTTTAAGTAAAATTAGCAGTTTTCTTTTTTTTATATAGTGGTTATATAAAACAAGACTATTTGTTTAATATAAATAAAGAATTCCTTAGGTTATATTCTGTTAACCTAGGTAAGTATGGTATATATTATTTTTAAATATATTTTTGTTATGTAAAAATGGTAATATGGTATAAATTCTTTAAGCCTGTATAATATATATTTTATTTCAGTAAACTAAAAAATAATTTTCAGGGCTGAATAGTTGTCTTTTTTTTAATTAAACTTATGTAATGTCCTTTCTAAATGCTTTTTCTTTTTTTCATTATTAATCTTTAATCTTAGTTAAAACTTTAAAAATATATTCAAAAATGTTTATTGTATACTTTTCCGAAAAGAGAATAGAAAAAAAGGTGTTAATATATTAAAGAACTACAAATGATGCTGTAACTCAAAAGAATTGAAACTGAAATTACATATTATTTCAGTCTATAAATATATCATTTTATAACAGTCAAAAAAGTTTAACAAGGATTAAAAACAATATACAAGATCTGAGATTTAAGGTTATTTAAAGTATTTATCAATGTGGTTCTTAAATTGATTTACATTTATTGACTCAATGATTTTTTGTGTTAGTACATTGACACTGACGGATGTCTATAGCTCAGAGTCTTCTTCTAACTAACTCATTTGTTTTATACACATTTTTTATGAGACATCAACTTCAAAAATTTGTCTGGTCAAAGTTTCTTGGGCTTGAAAATAGATTGATATAGTTTTTTTCAGGTTTGTCCAATTGGGTTTCTCCTTAATTTTAAACTATGTGGTGACCAGACACAGCTAATAAATTTTGCTATTTCTTTCAATGATGATTTTACTTCAGGGATTATAAAGTATTCTAGTATTATGTAAATTGCTTTGCTATTCTACCTTGCTGAGTGAGAACATGGTAGCTTGGTTGGCAGCTCTAGTTTAGGTAAAATATTTGTATCAAAGTAGTGCCTAAAGACAATCCATTACCTGAAAAAATAACAATAAAATGAATATAAAACATTTACATAATTTGCCGAACTGTTGAACTATTAAAAAAATTTAAAGAAGTAAATCAAGCCAATAGCATATAATTATCTCTCCAGGTTTTTATAGTAGGAGGAGGATGAGACATTTTATGCAGAACATTCTTTTAATTGTAGGTACTTTTCTTTTAGTTTCTCTTTAAACTTAAAATCAGTTAAAGCAGTAGTAGTTTGCTGGTGTTGGCAAGTGGAAAATTACCATTTTTTTCAAAACTAAGTCAAAAAATAAGGAAAATGTCTGTTAAATAGTTTAGACCATTAAAATCCCTTTTATTTCACCAGAACGATTATAAGATCTAACTAAAATAAAATGTAACTATTTATTAAATCATATGCATAAATGATATAAATTTTACTAACCTTCATTGACAGAGCAGGTGTCACAAATAATAAGAGATATTTCATGAGCAATATCATACTCTAACAATGTTTCCTTAATCATAGCTGTTAGTTTTTTGTAGGATCCATTAGTATGTAGTGTTTTGAGACCAATGCACCAAAGTTGGTCCCTCTGGCTGAAGGGCAATAACCAAATGTTCCACTTTTTTAACACCATAATCATATGGTGCCACAGCTTTACCATCAAAATATTAGATAAAAGATGTTTGTATTGACAAAGCTGATTAAGTTTAACCAAAGCTGGAAATTACCTTTTACTAGCTCTGAAAGTAGTAGTTTGAGGTGAATGGAATATCAATTATATAGAATATATTGAAGTGAATGTGAATGGAGAGTTGCCCTAGCTTCTTTGTGATTAGAGATACCAGCTTCTGTCCACATGATAGCAATCGACACCATAAAGAAAAATACACCAAAAAGAAACCAAATGTATTTAAAAAAAACGTTTTCTTTTATTTTCAGAAGTATTATTACTAACATTTAATTTTTTTTCACAGAGTCATCATCATTTTGAAAGCTTGACCCTGTATATAAATTACTTTATATAATCAAGACTCATGTTTTTTGCTATCAACAGTCTGTTAGCAAGATTTTCAACAACTGTTTGGCTGATCAGTACACAGCTCTTTCAATTTGTCATTTGATGATCTTAAAATGTCAGTTTTTTTGTCTTCATTTTTTTTATTTTTGCCTAG